CTCGATGCCGACACCCAGATCGAACTCCCCGTCGACGGCGAGCGCACCATCCGCCTGACCGGCGCCAACACCGCGCTCGTCGTGGTCGACATGCAAAACTTTTTCCTCCACAAGGACCTGCGCGACCATCCGACGGGGATCGCATGCGTTGACCCGCTGCTCGCCGTTGTCCCGGCTTTACGCAAGCACGGCGTCCGCATCATCTGGCTGTGGGTCCTTCCTGTCCTCGTGCATTGCGCCCGACTTATCATGCCAACACCAGCAACTGGGGCCTCACCCCGCAGGAGCTGCATACCCTACCGCCCTCTCTCGCCCGCCAATTTTCGCGCTCTTCTCGCGGTGGCTTCGGCTCCCCTCTCCCCGACCCTTTCGGTCCCCTCCTCATGCGCGGCTCATATAACGCCCAGCTTTACGGACCTCTCCAAGACCTCTACCTTGCCGGTCACACCGCCGGGACTGACGTCTGGATACACAAGAACCGCATCAGCGGCATCTGGGGCTACCAGTCTGCGCTCGACCTCTACCTCAAGGAGAACGGCATCCGGAGCCTGCTCTTCGCTGGCGTCAACGCCGATCAGGTTTGTCCCGTGTTCCTGTGTGGGAGCAAACAGTTGATCCCCCAGCGACAGTGCGTGATGGGCACCTTCTCCGACGCCTACTTCCGTGGCTACGACGTCGTCATGCTCCAGGACGCGACCGCCACCACTTCTCCAGCAGGCGGCCTCGAAAACGTCCTCTACAATGCGGGTGTACGTCCCTTCACGCATTTCGCTGCCACGCTCGAGTCTCATCGGCCATGCAGAGCTATGGCTTTGTTACAGATACCAAGCGCGTCGTAGAAGCTCTCTAACGCAGTGTACACTACAATGTATCGATGAATATGGAGCAGCGACGAATCGGAAGAGCGATCATCAACCAAGCGCGTTTATGTCTCATACATAAAATGCGGACCCCGGGCCCCCGACCCGAGCCTCTCCCTAATGTCGTCCGTTCGAGAATCTGTGTACCGCCAACTCAAGGACCACTCGACCGCCCGCGGCCATGACTACAACTGTACTATTCGCAGCCCGCTGGCAAAACGCAAACGCTGATCTCTCCCGACAGCATATAGAACGAGCCATGGTATCTATCATCACCGATTCAACGTCCTCGCGTAACCGTATGGCGAATCTCTCTCTGAATCCCGGTATTGGGTCGAGTACCCCAGCGGCCTTGTTGACCTCACTCGCTCGCACCCCTTGACTGACGGCGCCGTCGCTCTGCCCCCGCCAGATCTTGACCCCCAGATGGACATTCCCGTCGACAACGAGCGCACCATTCGCCTGACCGACAGCAGCACGGCCCTCGTCGTCGTCGACATGCAAAACTTCTTTCTCCATAAAGCCCTGTTCGACCACCCGACGGGTCTCGCGTGCGTCGATCCCCTGCTGCCCGTCGTTCCAGCCGTGCGGAAACGCGGTGTGCGCATCATCTTGCTGGACTTGTACCTCCCAGAGAACGGTATCAAGAGCTTGCTCTTCGCCGGCGTGAACGCCGACCAGGTACCGAGTTTTTGACTTTCCTGTCCTAGGTCATAACTGACAGACACCCGCGCAGTGCGTGATGGGCACCTTCCCCGACGCCTTCTTCCGCGGTTACGACGTCGTCATGCTCCGCGACGCGACGGTCACCACTTCTCCGGAAGGTGGTCTCGAAAGCGCCCTCTACAACGCTAGCGTATGTCCTCTGTCATATCCAGCGTGGCGTACTCTTACGGCTTCACCAGCTCTACGGTTTTGTGACGGACACGAAGTACTCCAGTCCGCAGAAAGTTCATAACGCAACGTGAATTGTAATGATACATCGGAGGAGTAAACAAAATACCAATAAGTATGAAAAGCGACACTCGATGGAGCGTGTGCTCAGTATCGTGTCCGATTCGTCCTTGCCTGCCCGTCTCTACTCCGCATACGCAAACGCGTATCCGTCCGAAAGCGGTCTATGTCCCGTCGACCCCGACCCGGACCTCGGCCTCGTCTTCACGTTCAACACCGTCCTACCCGAATACTTTCTCGCCAGCCCGGTCGCTCCGCCCGCGTCGTCGAATCCCTCGCCCGAAATCCGCCCCAGAGCCTCGAACGGCTCATGCACCGACGCGGGCGGCGTCGCCAGCTGCTGCCGCATTCCGCCTGGCGGCGGGCTTCGCAGCGGGCTCCTCGGCTGAATCGGCGGCGGCGAACCGAGAGACGCCGCCGAGAAGCGCGCCAGATCGCGCGTGTCGATGAACGGGCGCGGGCGCGGCACCGGTGCGTGCACACCACCGCCCACCGTGTCCTGCGACGCGTGGAACGGGTCGTTCGCCGCCGAAGAAGACGAGGCGGTCGACGGCCGCCGCCCGTGCCCGTGCCCGTGCCCGTGCCCGTGTCCGGAGCCGCTGTAACGCGATGGGCTGGACCCGCGCGAGCGCGAGCTCGAGCTCCGCGCCAAGCCGACGACCACGTCGGGCGTCCCGCTGTGTGCGCTCACGTACGCCGCGCTTGTCGACGTTAGTTCCTCGTCCGACCCGTCTGACGCCGTCGCCGCGCCGGGCACGACGCCTACGCTCCCCTCCGCCGAGCGGTGGTCACCGGACGGGCCGTCGAACCGCGGCGGCGCCACCCGTCTCGCACTGCTATGCCTCACGTGGGCCGTCGCCGTCGCCGTCGCTGCCCCCGCTAGCAGCCGCTGCCGCTGAACGCGCTCCGCCATCGGCGTGCTCACGGAGACGGGCGTAGGCAGCTCAGTATGCCGATCGTCCGGCGTCCAGCTGTGCTCGCTCGCCGAGGTACCGAGGTACGGGTCGCTGAATGGGTTCGCGCCGCCAAGTTCCAGCGGGCCGCTGATGAACTGCCTGCCGGGTGGGGAACGTCGACGGCGGCGAAGGACGAGACAGACGGCGACGGTGCCGCCCACGATCACGAGTGCGATGGCCACGAACACTCCCGCAACCGCGCCTTTGTGGTTCCAGAATCTTACGATCAGGCCATCGTCAGTCCGAAAGTCCGTGATCATAGGAACGATGTCGCCCACTCACGAGTTTTGGTGAATAACCGCGGCGGAGTTGGAGGACGTCGTCGGATTGAGGCCGATCGTGGTGATGGATGTAACCTGGCCATCGGCCAAGGTGGTCGCGACCACTTCCGTCACGGAAGCAGGCGTCTGCACGGAGATATGACCCCTGCTGTCCGTAGATGTTATTACCACGACGGCCGAGGACGATGCACCGCTGCTTTGCACCGGGCCCTGCCTCTCGGCTGCAGAGGACGAAGCCCCGGCGCCTGAAGAGCTCTGGCCAGCGGAAGCCGAGCCGGGACTGTGTGGCTGCGAACCAGACGATGTCGTGGATCCCGACCCCGGTCCCGACGCAGACCCGCCGGAGCTGCTCGATCCCGCGGCTTGCGTTGCCTTCGTCTGTTGCACCGGGCCCTGGGTCACATGCGAGGACGGAGCGCTGGAGACGGACGTACTCACATCGTTACTTTTAACTGACGTTGGTTGGGCAGCCTCCGAAGTGCCCCCGGTATGCTGCGTGCTGAACGTGGATGAAGGGGAAGACCCATGGGTCGACGTCGGAGCAGGGGAGGGAGGGTCCGATGAGGAGGTGGTCGGAGACGGTTTTGACGACTCTGTGCTCGTCATCGTCGTGCTAGCCGATAGTGTACTGGCTGGGGTCGACGTAGTCGTCACGGGAGGTGAAGTCGATGTCGTCGACGAAGAGGTTGACGTCGACGTCGGAAATGTCGAGGTCGTTGAGTGGTGTGAGCCCATTCTCTGGGGGCTAGACAGCCGATGAGCTCGACACTGTGCCCGACGTCAAGGACACGAATCCTTCAAAGAGAGGCGCCGAGGAAATCCGACCGGATACAGCTCGATTTAAACTATGATGTACGAAACATCAAATGATCGAGACACTTCGTCACAGCCAGGTGCACTCACGCGCAAGGAGGGGACAATGTCTGATGGATCAGAGCATGCAGATCTTGCAAGGGGGAAGAAACAGCCAAAGGCAGCGCAAGTTAACGGCAATCCGGAGCAGACAAGGAGCGACGGCGGCTCGAGCGTACGACCCAAAGCCAGTAGCGAGTAAAGACAGCTGGCCGTGATTGCGAGGCCCGGTGACCTGGCGCGCGGGGTCGAGCAGGCTGGAGAAGGCACTCGGACACCCGTTGTCAATTGCCAGCGCGACCCCATGGGGCCCCCACACCAGAACAAATGCGAATCACATGGAGGACCAATGGTGTTAGCTGCCTTTGTACAAGGAATACGGCTATTAGCCAGGAATCTACTTGTAGTAAATCACGGCTATTTAGCCAGGACTTCGCCCGAGGCTGTACTGCGACCCTGCCGAGCCCTGCCGCCCATTACCAATCAATGCATGCCCATTTCGGGCGTCGGCTAATGCTCCCTCGTGCGAAAGCGGGCTCGGGGCTTGGGTCCCGGGGTGTTCTCCGTGGGAATCACCCATCAGATATGTCCTTCTGGGCCCTCCGAGTGTGGGAATTGGCCTCTGATGTCATCGGAGGCCCGATATCAGGCACGCCGATGCTTCTGAGAAGCATTCCCAGGCGGTAGTGGTCCTCCGAGGTGGCTGGCTGCCTAGCGTACACCTTTTGCGGCCTGGTATAATAACAAAAGTTGTATTTATCTGCATATAGAATACTATGGTGTAATATTTTTGAGCATAGCACTCACGGAAGATTACCAAATAAGGAAATACTCGATGTGGAATCACAGAATATGTGTTTCCTGCTTGCAGACAGATTACACAGGCGGGTCTAAGGTTCCCAGTGAGTTGATTGCACTCAGAAGACATGTTCCCATAGTTACAGTACAGGTTAATAGGGAACTAATATGTTAAAAAGGCGAAAATAGGGATGGGGAAGACAGAAACATGGAACATGATATACACACCTAAGGGTGGTGTCATATAGTGACTAGAAGATAGATAATGCCTGTATTGGTGTATGAGGAGGTTTTTAAGGGGTATGGGGACAGATTGAGGCGTCGATGAGAGGGAATGTGTGGAAGAGGTGTCAGAAACAGAGATAGTAGAACAGGAAGTGAACATAAGATGATAGGGAGACAGGTATGGCTTCCCTGACATGATATTACATAACACATACCTTAGATACGAAGGACTGACGGTGGGGAAATGAGAGACGGAGTGAAAAGGGGATGGGGAGGCCTAATCTTCGAGATAGCTCGTGATCGGCGACGTGAACTTCGGATATTATTGCAGAATCAAATTCTTCGGAGAAATCGGGCTCTAGAGAAGCCTGAGATTACGAGAAAAGGTGGGAAACTCGTTGAGTAATGGAGGGGGGAGGGGGAGGGGGAGAGGAGGGGGGATTTCTATAACGGCTGGAGATTACACCAAACGTGTGTAGGAGCATGTTAATGACCTAGAAATGATATCAGATATCAAAAACGAGATGAGGTTTATAAGAGGGATGCGTTGGGGAAAACAGGGGGGTAGAGAGGCAAAAAGCGTGCTACAGGCAAATGTACGGGGAAGGATAACGACAGAAAACAGACAGAGAACATACCTTAGCATCCCACAGATATAATACCCCAGCAATAATACATCTTAGAACGTCCTACGTGTCAGTATACAACGTTGACTGCGATGAACCCAAATCGTCGAAAAGCGACCGTCGAGCGTCAACGAAGAGCGCCAGCGGATCAACCAAGATGTCATAAGAAAGCCAAAAATCGTAGCAGTCTATAGAGCCAATAAATATGAGAAAGCGTGCAGTGTAGCATGAGATATGCCCGGAACAGTCGGCGACAGGGTGTTGGTGCAGTGAGCTGCATGAGGCGCGGCTGTGTTGATGTTGTCTGGCTGCACAAACTCATCACCTGGACGGTGTCTTTCCCTTCCACTGGCGATATCTCATGCTACACTGCACGCCTTCTCAATATCTGTGGCTCTATCTACTGCTATTATCTCTGGCTCTCTTCTGACACCCTGTCTGACTCGCCGGCATTCTTCGTTGACTCTCGATGACCGACTTTCGATGTTTTGGGCCCACCACGATGAAGTGTGCATACTGCCACGTATACCGTGCTATACCTCACCAAAGCTGCTGGATTATGATTGGGAGATGCTAAGGTATGTTCTCTGTATGTTTTTTGTCACTATTCGTCCATGTACATGTCCCCGTGCCACATTCTTTCCATCCCTGTCATCATGTCTACCCCGGCCCATCCTCCCTATTAATCCCATCTCGTTCTTGATATCTGGTATTTTTTACATGCCCTAAGCCTATTCCTGAAAGAATTTGACGTGGTGTTCAGCCGTTGTAGAATGCCCCCTCCCTCTCCTCCTCACCCTCCTCCCTCTATTCCTCCACGAGTTTTCCACATTTTTGCGTCATCCTTAACTGACTTAGAACCTATTTCTCACGCAGATTACGATTCTGAAATAATATCCGAGGTCTCCTTCGCCGATCGCAAGTCATTTCGAGGATTGTGTTGTCCCGTCGACTTTTCTTTCCTTCCCTCGTCTCCGCACCGTCGGATCTTCGTATTTGTAACATGGAGTGTCCCCCTACATTCCAGGTAAGCTTCCCATGCCGCCTCATTGTTGATCCTTCCCTCCTGGTTTCGTCATCTCTGTTTTTGACGCCCCTCCTTCATATTTCCTTCCATCGACACCCCATTTCGTCACCAAACCCCCTCAAACTTTCCACGTGTGTTAATGAATGTATTTAACGTCCTTTGTATGCTATATGATGTCTCTTTGACCCTTGGGCAACATGGCATATAACCCTTCTCACCCCACCGCATTTTCTTGCATTTTGGGTGTTCTTCTGCTTATTAACTTGTCTTCTAACCTTGGGTACATTTGATTGGAATGCAATATACATGTTTAAATTTATCTCTCCGCTGAAGTAACCAATCTGGAAGCAGAAACCGCTTGTTCTGTGGTCCCAAATCGAGTATTACCTTATTTGGTAAGTCCCCATAAGTGCTATGTCCGAATAAAATACACCATTGTATTTTGCATGGAATTATCTACAATATTTGCTATAATGCCTCGCCATGAATCCGGTTCGCCAAAGGGCTGGCAGGCCAACATATGCATGGGACACAGCCACTGCTACCCGGGAGGAGCACTACCACCCGGGATTGCTTCTGAGAAGCACCGGCGTGCCTGATATCGAGCCGCTGATAACATCAGAGGCCGATTCCCACACAAGGAGGCCCGGGAGCCGAGCCCCGAGCCCGTATTCAACGCTTTCTCACGACTGAGCATTAGCCGACACCCCAAACGGGCGTACATTGATTACTAATGGCCCGCAGGGCCGTAATACAGCCTGCGGACCAGTCCTGGCTAATTAGCCGTGAGTTACTACAAGCAGAGCCCTGGCTAATAGCCGCGCTCCTTGTACAAACACAGCTAACACGGCTGGGAGGACCGGGGTCACCTGCGATGAACACTCGCACTAGAAGAAGCAGACAGTTCGTTCCTGCGCGCGGGATGGATGCGTACAAATGGCCCCGCGACGCTTCCTCGAACTCGAAGCAGGGCGGGATATCGATGGCCTGCGGAATGCATTGGGCAACCCGGGCACATATGAGAATCTAGTTTCACGCCAGTTGCAGAGCCGTGTCCCGAACTACGACGACGGAGGCAGCTGTGCCCGAGAGGTGGTGGGAAGGTGCGAGCTCAAGCCCGGAGTAACAGAAGCGTCGTCACATGGCTGATGGTGGATGCTCCTCGGTCGGGCGAATCAAGTCTTGCGGGGTGCTCGCACCGTTCACCATCGTCGTCATAAGTCATGGCATTGCTATGTAGCAACGATCTACAAATACACCGGTGGTATCGGGTCATGTGGATCGACAGAAATACAGTGGGGGCTTTCTCTAATGTCCCCTAAAAGCACAGGTACTGTGTCAATCGTACATCTTGCACTCCCGCGGATGTTGCTCGCGAATCGCCGACGGCATCTAGAACCAGCCTACAGATGGCGATTGCTCGTTGAGAGTGCTCGAACGAGAACGGGTCATAGTTTTGGGCCGAATCTGCATTCAAACCGTTATCAGCAAGGCACAGGTCAACAAGCGCACTATGCACATACATCTAGCAAGGTTCGCCGAGAATACTTCCTCGTCAGTGTCCGCGTGCCATCTTCGGGTGAGCTCGCCGCCGCCTCCGATTCGTCCAGTATAGCATCCAAACCAGGCCGTGGTGTAACGTCGTACGACGGACTGGGTGGCGGAGTGCCCGAGAGCGACGCCGAGCGGTTGTGAGACGACACGGACGGGGGCGGCGTCAGCAGCTGCACGTCTTCCAAGGCCATTTTGGGAGGAGGCTTCCGCATGGCACTGCGCGGCCTGATAGGCGGAGGTACATCGCTCGCACGGTGCTCCATGGACATGATAGGGGGCGGCACCGCGACGACCGGCGCGGGGTCATTGAATGGGTTCGCGGGAGCAGGGTCCTCGAATGGATTCGCCGGCTTGCTACCACGCGCGTAGAACGAGTCGGAATCGTCGCCCGGTAAAGACGGGCTATAGCGCGACGGACTGGATTCCCGCGACGGACGAAGGGCGGACGCGGGTACCATGGTGGTGGCCGTCTCATCTCCGGGATAGACCGTTGCGGTACGTGGCGTCGGCGGAAGCGAGCTATCGATGGCCAGCCCAACCGGTGACGCGGCCGAGTTATAATCGCTGAAAGGACCTTCGTACGATGTCGGCGACACCACCCGGCCACGGTCCACCGAGGACCGGGCCATGATAGGCGCATGGTATGCTTCGGACATTGCACCTTCATCGGTGTGGGCGGCGCGGTAGTTGGAGCTGTTAACGCTCTCGCGACGATTGGCGAAAGGGTCCGTAAGCGAGGCGTTCCATGGGACAGGCACCGGCCAACTGACGACTCGGCGCCCAGCACGACGACGCCTGTTTCGCCTCGAGCAGTAACAGTAGGTCCCGAGGCCTAACAACGCCAAGGCGAGAAGAGCGACCACAGTGAATACACCTGCGACGGCAGCTTTGTTGTGCAAGAACCCGTTGCTATTGGTATACTCAGTTAATTCGTATGAAGCGATATCCAACAGTAGATACTTACGTGTTGTCACGAAGTGCGGATGATCCATTCGTAGATGAGGTGACACTCGGATTGGCAGCGACCTGGGTGACAGAGGTCACTTGACCGTCCGGCAGCGTCGACGGAGCTACTTTAGTAACGACGGCGGGCGTAGAGACCGTCGTATGCCCTTTACTGTCCGTTACGGTAGTCACGACGTCACTGCTGAACGTGGTGTCCGCAGATGGAACGGGAGCTTGTATGCGTGCGCCGCCCGAAGACGAGATGGCAGATTGAGCCTGAGTCTCGGAAGAACCTGCCCGGCCTGCTCCGGAAGACGGCGCCGACGGTTGTTTCCCGGATGCAACCGAAGTCGTTCCGTCTCCCTGCGTCACGCTGGCACCAGTTATTGCCTGTTGCGAAGCAGATGGCAGAGGGGAGCCAGTAGGTGCTGCCTGGGACGACGGGGTGAGAGATCCAGCGTTCGCGGGCGCGGATTGGCTCTGGGGAGCTGTCTGCACTGGCGCATTCTGTGGCACGGATGTCAACGCTGGAACGGAGCTAGCGACGAAGGTGGAGCTCGCGACAGGCGCAGAGCTTGCCACAGGAGTCGTGCTCGCGACCGGCGTGGACTGAGCATGCTCGGCCGTGGATGCTGGAGTGGACTGCACAGAACTCACGCTTGTACTTGATGGTGCAGATGACGCGGACGGAGAAGAAATTGCAGCAGGCACACTCGAAATCGAGGTAGTACTCGGGGTCCCGGACTTCGTGGCAACGCGAGCAGAGGGGGACGAAGTGACGGCCGCGCTTTGCGAAGTGGCTGGACTCGACGATGCAGCTACAGTCTGCGCGGCGGCCGATGACGTGAATGCAGGCGACGGAGCTGATGAAGATGACTGCCCAGCAACGGGGCTAGAGGGAACAGCAGACTCCACGGCCTTGTTCAATTTGACGCTGGTTGATGCGCTGATGTATGCTGAGTATATGTCGAACTGCCCGAGGCATATGAAGCGACGCTTACGCCACAATCTTAACAGAGCTGGGGGACGCTGCCGGTGAGGCCATGGCCGGTGTCGCTCTCGCGTTTGTTGGCGAGGGAGCAGCGGAGGACGGCGCAGTAAAAGAGGAGGCTCCAGACCTAAACGTCAGAGGTAAGCCATCCAAGAGCTCTTATAACAACGTGGAAACCCCGTACGATGGTCCAGATACAGATGCAGAGCTGAGTATAGCTTCTGTCGAGCTAGCGCCGATCCCAGGCACCGTGGCAGATTTCTCCGGCGCACTCAATGAAATGGACAGAGAAACGGTGGCGCTAACGGATGGAGACGCCGCTGCCGATGGAATCGTAGAAACAGACGCTACAGTCGAAGGGATTGCGTCGGACACAGCCGAAGCTGTACCTGAAGCCGATGACACTGGCGAATCCGTACCGCTGACAGCGACGGATGCCCTCGCAGAGGAAGCCGAGACGGAGCCTGTAGAAACGGAAGGGGCAAAAGACTGGCTGGGTGTTGAAGCTTGAAGAGACATCGACTGCGATAGCGCACTCGACGGTGTGCTGCCGGTTATCTGAAGTTGAACGTTGACGTTATATGCCCTGCGGCCAGATTGTATTGCACGTATGACGATGCTCACCGATTCGCTAATAGTGCGGGACAAGCTGGCCGCAGCAGATGCAGATATGCTCGTCATCTGAAACCCATTGACTCGGCGTCCGCCTCTTTCCGTCGCAGAGGACCTTAGAGGACTGCAGGGCGAAAGGTGGACCTCGTCTCCTTCTGGTCGTTATATGCATCCTGCAGCTACAGATTCCGTGAGACCGGGAAATTCTCGCGAGTCTCGGAACGATTCTCACCGCTTCGGGAGCCATGGAGGAATCTTCTCACCATGCCGGTCTAATCGAAGCTGGTCATCTGAGAAAGAGATGATCCGGCATACGGGTCAATGTAGATTCTAGGAACGGCCTGTTCATATCAGTCGGTTAGGCTAGCGCGCGCCCGCCTAAGAATGAAATCAGTATTGATCATGTCACGTGCCTGCCTTTCTGAGCCTCCGGAGACACGACACGTCGACAAGATGGCCGCCCGACTTCCGGGAATCGCGCCAGCGATAAGGATGATTGGCAAGCTGCGGCGTTTATGAGAATCGCTGAGAGAGGTCAATCCGCGCGTTGACGAAGTCAGGAAGAGTACCGGCGTGCACGCGGAGGGCTTTCCGGAATAAGGTCACACGGAGCGAGTGCATAGCGACGCAAATATCATCCGTTATTGAGGGGACTGAATTACAAATGGCGAGGTACTAGTGGACAATGTAGTTGAGCAAGCAGAACTGATGTGAAAGACCGTCAGATCGTGAGTAGACTACGATGATTGGTATACGCACGGTGCGGAGTGAGAGCGTAATCGGGTATAGCATGAATAGTGGTATGTGAACGTGAACCGGGTAGGGTACAGAGGGCATGCGGCAATAATCCCAGGGAAAAAGCGACACTGAAACATCGGCCGCGTGAGCACTCGACACGGCTAACGGCAGAGATCCTCCGACTCACACATGTCTAAACACCTCGAAAGCGTCCGGTTGTATGTAGTGTACGTCACGATGGAAATCTTCAGCAACATCTGTGGCCTGTGCCAGGAATCTTCAGCTTGACAATGCCCTTCTTCGGCCTCCGGCTGAGTGATCCAAAGCTGAGGCTGGAAAGTCGACTCGAGCTATTTACTCGTCGAAGTGCCCGGTCGCCGTAACTGACGCCGCTGCCTGCCTTTTCTGGGTCGAGCACACCCGATTCTATGGACAGCAAAATGGACCGTGCTGCAAGGAGGAATGGAGCTTCTACATTGTCACCCGTCAGGGATGACACCTCTAGGAAGTGTACATCTGCATTGACACATCAATCGCAAAGCATCGGACGTGTCACGGTGGACGCTTACCGTTGTCGGCCGCCCATCGGCTTGCTTCCGACCACTCGACTTCGCGATCATCTTCTCGATCCGACTTGTTACCAACAAGCACCGTAACCAAATGAGGGCTTGCCAAAGCTCTGGCATCCGCAAGCCATCGAGACAGATTCGCGAAAGAATCGCGGCTAAGACGCAGGTGAGCACTTCGGAGAGCGTATGATATCGTTTCGGGAGACTCGCCTCGTTATGTCATAAACAAGGATAGCTCCCGCTGCCCCTCGATAGTAGCTGCGCGTCACCGAACGGAATCGTTCTTGGCCGGCTGTGTCCCAAAGCTATCGGATAACTTCGGACCGGAACTAGCATGTGGTTGGGGGGCGACAGACCTGTAGCTTTATCCGCTTCTCGCCTAGTTTTAGTGTCCTGCTGGAAAACTCGACACCAATGGTATGCTGCGAATGATCTTTGACTGGACCCGGTACTTGGTGAGTGTCTAGACAACGTCCGGCTCCGGGAAACTCACAGGAGTTGTGCGTGAAGTGATGCAAGAGGCAGGATTTCCCAGATCCAGCTTCACCTAGACGGAGAGCGTTTAGCAGGAGTCAACTTTGGAGAAAGAGCATGCGCCAACCAATGATGATGAACTTCATAAGGAAATCTGCGGACACGCGACGGCGTGAGTCTATGTCAACTTGAGACCTAACCGACGCTCGTACCATAGGTCTCCAAAAGCTCAGTAGCATCAGACCCGTAGTCATCGAACGCCATGGCGGGACTCGGGAGAGAGGATAAGCAACCGCCGACATCCGTGGACGGTGGTTGTCCCAGGCCGTGCGTCATCCTGGGAACATATTCAACCGCTCGGGAGTCGGAACACTGCCACACCGGACCCAGTCGTCTCGATTTTCTTGGTGACTTCAAATTATTTACATCTCACAAGCATTGACAACCCGGGACTACCACCCTTTCCACGGAACCCAAACATCCACGACTGCATTTCCTCCTTCTATGCCGCTGTCAACCACGTAATACCATGGGTACGCCGCCAGGGTGAGACAAGCATGCTGTCCGACAACCTGCACCACGCTTCCAATCTGCAGTGGCTCCGCACCTGAACTTGTCGGCCGGAGAATACCATGTTCCTGGGACACCTTCGCCAGCTTCCACGGGAGGCCTATGACCTCGCCGTATCCGCCGCTCGGCCCCGTATCCTTGCTCATCGCTATGGCTCCGGCGTCACAAAGTGCTTCGTCGACTCCTCCTTCGCCTCGGCCAGGATAATACGATATCACTGTAGTCACCACACGCTGTGCGATCCGAGGGTGATCCACTAGGCTGGTATGCACCTGTTGCAGATCTAGTAAGGGATAATTTCCTGACGAGCCGAGGGTTAGGCGGTTTACAACACTACCGTTATGCCAGCTTACCTGCGTGGAGCTCCAGTCTTCCATTCAACACTGCCTCTAGCTTCGCCTTCGTCTCCGCGGATGCTGCATGTGCCGTTGGTGTTGAACCAACAGACAATACGAAAGGATCAGTCCGAGGCTGCGCTCCTGGAGATCCAGAAAGAATAGCAAGCGCCAAACCAGCGGCAGTGTTCACAGCCTCTACTTCAGACGACAAGAAGCTAGAAGCCTCGTCGAGCGATGTTGAGGCATAGGAGTTCCCAGCATGACAGTAGAACCCGTAAACTTGGATAGCCGGCGAGAATAGCGCCTTCTGCACGACTGTCTCGAACCTCGCGGAACCAGGAATTACGCCCGCCCGTCTGGGCGATGGTCATCTCAAACACTGCTGGCGTTAGATACGCGACTCACTTCCCCCCGGCGTCGACTTTGACGAACACTGACCAACTTCCCGGCGATGACCTTGCAGACTCGAATCGCTCTAGATGCTCTATCTGATCCGTGTGGTCAATCAGCAATCGCACTACAGCCCCGTTCGACGCCAGTGTTCCTCTGATTGCGTCCAAATCCGCGATTTTATTCGGCGCTACGGGGAGACCGTACAAGATCTAGCGATCTCATCCATTAGCAGCGGCCAGATAACAAGGATACTCGCAGAGAACGCACGTCAGTGACTGTTCCATCGGCCACGAGCCCCGATTCGAGTATCTTCCAGGCCTCCATCAAAGTGGATACGACCACGGCCGATGTTGAATCCACTGCAGTCCGCAACTGCAACCTTGTTCCTTCGACAGTCTAGGATCAAGGAATCAGCTCCGGAGCGATCAACAGAGAGCGCGAGACGTCTCGAACTTTGTGCGACTTGACATGCGCCCTGAAGCTCGTAGCCCATTCTTGCGCCTTCCGATGCATGCTTGCGCAGTTGGCGGCGAACACGGCGCGATCAATTACCAGGGCAGGTGTTCGGAGTGCCGTTAGCGGCTTGCCTGCGTATTCAGCAGCCACAGCATGCTTGTCTGGCAGAGATGTCAGTCTATACGGCGTCGTCGTCTGTTGCGCTTGGTTCGAAGTCATGGTCAGCTACACGAGCGCATACGACAGCGCCGATAACTATATCGCAGCAGATCACATGCTCGTGCCGACGGCCAACGCGTTCCGCGATCGGGCTTCCTTCATGCTTTGGGCGGTCTTGGGCGCGCCGTTGTAGCGATATCAGACACCGTTGAGAAATCAATGTCGGATGCACACAGTGACACTAACCAACATGTCGAGCGCGCAACAACCTCAATCCATCCCCACACTTGGGCCAGTTCACCCTGATTTCGTCGACAAACTTGTTCCCGAGTACGTTGCGTTCCATAACGAACACCTGACCAGCCTGCCCGCTCTCCCCGAGTTACCTTGGGACCCTCGGTTCCGTTCCTTCCCCGCACCTCCGGGAAATACGCCCCCGCAGCAAGTCGGCAGCATCAAAGACATCTCCCTTTCTCGCTTCAAGATCCGAGTTTTTACTCCCGATGGGCCTGCTCCAACCAACGGATGGCCTGCGCTCCTTTTCTTCCACGGCGGAGGATGGACTCTCGGTAATATTAACACGGAGAACAGCCTTTGCACTATTCTCTGTAATCGTAAGCTGCTGAGATCACTCAAGCGGAGTTCACGCTGATTCGTATCAGGTGCGCGAGGCGTGGTAGTGTCGGTTGACTATCGTCTCGCTCCCGAAAACCCATATCCAGCCGCTGTAGAAGACTCGATCGAAGCACTCCGATGGCTTTACGAGAAGGGGCGAGATGAAATCGATGTTGATTCCTCACGCCTGGCTGTTGGAGGATCTTCCAGGTAAGCGGTATACCAGGTTCCTACGTGTGCTCAGTAGATGAATATGCCTCAGTGGTGGAAATCTCGCTGCCATCGCAGCTTTGAAGGCAGCGGAGATGCAGCCGCCCATTCCACTTATCTTCCAGATGCTCATTGTCCCAGTGACCGATAATACGGCATCGGAGGATGGCACGCCCCATGCATCGTGGGCCGAGAACGCAAACACCGCCTGGCTCAACATCGCGCGGATGATGTGGTTCAGAAGAAACTACTTGCCTAACCCCGCAGACTGGACAAGATGGGACAGTTCCCCTATCTTTGCACCGGATAACTTGATCCAGAAGGTTCCCACGGCTTGGATCGCTTGCATGGAGTGCGACATCCTGCGAGACGAAGCCATTGCGTACGCCGATAAACTACGCGCTGCCGGTGTTAAGGCCCACGTCGAAGTCTACAAGGGAGCACCACATCAATTGATGGTTTTAGATGGTGAGCTTCATTGCCTCTGGAACATGTTTGAGGACTTGCGATATATCATACTTATTCACAATCTATCACGGGTACAGGGTGAGTACATCGGCCATCGTGCCGCGACGAGCATTAACTGGTATCTCAGCGTATTGGACCTTGCCAAGAAATTCGTTGCGGACGCAGCGCAGGCACTTGCTAATGCTTTTAACACTGCATCATGATGAGTACAAGGTGAGAGCCTTGCAATACTGTCACAAGGGACAGCAGAATAACCACGACACCTGTGTTGATCATGCCGACGGGGAATAGGGGGGCTGCCGCGATAGCGATCTGCCCGATGTTTTAGTGTCGTGGTTGATTCTTGAATGTCTGCGATGGTGCCCTGACCGCGTACAAGAAAATGCGAATGATTTCAATGACCTGCAACGGCCCCTGATGTTAGTGACCCTAATCAAGCACTCGGGCAACGCTACTAGATAGAGCCAAAACGGGGTCCGAATTGATTGCGTCCAATCGATCATCATCTACAAACGGAAAGTCATCCGAGGAAAGCGGATTGCATGTTCGATAGGTTCGACATGAGACCTGCCTCCGCATACAGTTTCCTCTTTTTGGTCAGAACGCAGCCTGTCCAAAGACATATCTCGGTGTACCCTATAGAACCTCAGAGGAGTTTAGTGCCATCTTAGGTGCTTCTTATAACGTGAAGTATCCGATATCACTGCAGTGCCTGCATGAAGGCATCGGGGATGAAGGTGGCGGTAACCTGCCTGCCACCAAAATAGCGGCCGTTGAGTCCTTCGATGGCCTTTTTCGCGGAGTCAACGGTGTCGAATTTGACATATATTTCTCCCTGGAGTTGGTGTCGCTCAGAGCGTTTACGAACAATATCACGGCATATGACGAACCTGGGACTCTTTGTCGACCTTGATGAAGTTGACCATGCCGTACTTGTTCTCGCACTCAACCTTGACATCATCTGCCAGATCCTTGTCCCAATCCTTTTCAGTTTCCCTAGTTGATAGTGAGTAACAGCGAGAAACCGCATCGGAATTCACATACTCAGCGGGATCGAACATGTTCTTGAGAAGCACCGACTTCGATTGCAAGGTTTGCGTGATGACAGGCTTGGAGCTACATGGACAGCATCAGCGTACTGCGAGCCTGTACACAAGCTGAGCACATACACCGTCTCAACTGGAGCCCGAGCTGGTTCAATTCTGGCAAGCTTCTGCATCAGTGCTTGGCGTGATGCTGCATTCAGATTACCGCCTGATCAACGAATATCAATGCGTTGTTTTCGAGCCAAGTCCAAAGGGGATAACACTCACCATTTTCTTCGAGAGATTCTTGCTGGGTATACTTCACGGTGCCCTTCTCGTGCACTGTGTTGACGCGCAGCTGGATGACGGTGAGATGTCTGGATACTACGCAATGTACGTCGACATACTGTTCTACCAGCAAGCTCGAACCCTTCCATCTGCTCGAGAGCCATCTTGGCATCCTCGGCTCTCTTGTACCTGGGTCAACGTCAATCCACGCTCCCAATGTAGACGTGTTATTGCGCACTGGATGAAACAGTAACCCTTGCTGCGACCGGTCATTGGGTCTCTATGAAGATCCACAAATTCCAATTCGCCGAAAGGCTCGAAGACCTGCTTGATGTCGCTTTCTGTCAAGTTAAAGTGCAACGAACCAACGTAGAGTCTAGGGGAAACGGTATGATGAGCATATTAGTAATGACAGGAAGAGCTGAAGCGTACTGTCGTGGACCATGAGTGCCGCTCACGCCTGGAGGCAGATTGAGGCTCCTACAAGTAACATGAATAGACAGTCTAGAATGAATGGTGATCTCCTACCCGTCTCCAGCATGTGTGCGATTTCGCTCCGCTTCCGTATGCTGTACTTTGATCGGAAGACCCATAACCACTGTGCCACTCAAGTTAATCGCTTGATCCACGAGTTCAATAGTCTTTAACTCCACGTAACCGATCCTATGAATATTATTTGATATATTATTGTGATGCATGGAAAATTTGATTAGCGCACCCTTTGGAGCGTCTAGAAAGCCGGTCCGTGACGATCCTGGCATCCATCACTGTGCCTTCGCCGAGTTTGTCCTCGAAAAAGTAGCCCAAATCACGGGCGGTAAGGCGAGCAGCCAATTGCGACACAAAAACAGAACGAGCTTCGGAATCATCTTCCTTCGGTTCTTCCGGATTGTAGTCTTCGGGTGGGGCTTCGTATGTCGGCGAAGGCCGCCTGAACGAGGTAACGTTAGCGAGCAGATAGCATATCAGGACTGTAAGACCGTACTTGATGGGTGGAACGCTGCGTCGCGGAGGGGGTGGAGACTCCCTTCGTCGGCGATAGCGAGGGTCGTCAAACTCGTCCCGAGGGTCTCGAGCCCGTCTACGATCCTTGTCGTCGTGCCTGCGATCCAGCTCGCGCGAAAGCTCTCTGCGGTCCGATACCGCCCTGCTGCCGGAACGTGAACGAGGAAGGGCATCTGCCGGCAAGGCTGGCACATCTTCGTCGGGCTTCATCCTCTTCGAGCGATCCTCGCCGTCTCCATCTTCTTCCTCTCTCCTACGACGCCTCTCGCGGTAGTCTCGTTCATCCCTGTCCCGGCGCTCTCTCTCTCTATCCCGGCGGCGTTCCCTGTCCCTATCCCTGTCACGGTCTCTGTCCCTCTCACGTTCCCGGTCACGATGCCTGTCCCTAGACCTGTCCCGGTCGCGGTGACCGCGTTCTCTGCTCCTGCGGCGCTCATGCCCCTCATCGCGATGTCTGTCACGCCTATCTCTGTCGCGGGAGTGAGAACGGTGAGACGAACGTCTGGTCCGCATCGTGTCGGTCGAGCGATTGCGCACCCTGGGGTAGAGAAGGGTGAGTATAGGCATCATTGTATTGGTTGGCTGTACCGACGATTTGCGGTCGGGCGACGTGGGATCCACTGCCATGGCGTCCGACATGTGTGCGTGCTGAGAAAGGGGTGAACGCGCTCGCAGAGGAGGAAGAAAAGGCAAGGGGCTGGTAGTGCAGCCGCTTTAGGGCCGGGTTCCCAGGACCTTGGAACGTGGGCAACGTTCGCCCGCTTCTCGACCGCTTATGGTACGTCCTGGCCCTCTTCTGTCTCATCGGGCGCTCGCTTTGACCCGTCCTGCGACGCGCTCCATGCTGCTTGGTCCTGGCTGACACCCTGCACAGGCCGCCACCAGGTCACCAGCTGCGGAAGCGGCGCATCCGACATGGCCGTCAAGGACATCGTCCGACAGTACGAGCGCTCCCTCTCGATCTCATCTCGCACCGCAGGCACCCAGGATGCCGAATACGAGACTGGCCACGAAGAACGGCCCGGAATACCACCTCCAACTCCTGCCCGGTTTCTGCGTCACCCTCTGCTACGTGAGCCGCAGATCGCTTCCTCGCGCAATCCAGGTCCCGAAGTTACGGCGGACGCGAGTGCTGACGAACGGGCATGGCTGACTATACCGCACGACACGGATGAAACAGACACGACGAATGATACCTTGCAATCCCATACAATACCCGGTCTCGGGTCGAGTAACGATGACCTTACGATCGAAGACCTGTCTACATCCATCAATACCAAAGCGTCTACTTCCACTGCAATCGCCGGTTACAAGGCGGAAGACGAAGACGATATGATTCCTCTTTTGCCTGTTAGAGGATCTGACCTTCGCTCTCGGGTCCCATTCACACATCCTCTCTCGCCGACATTGGAAGCGGGCATGAGCCAGGGAGTTGGTGCTATCAATGTTCCTGCACCGACGGCACCTACAGCTGCTCAGACACGAGATAACCCGACACATAAACCCATTCCCTTGACCACCATCTTTTCTCGAAAGGCTGCACCTCTCTATCTGCCTAAACTGGACAAGGTCATTTCTCTTTTGCCTAAGCCCCATTTTAGACTGCCCCCCAGCAAAGTGTCGTCAAAACATGGCCAGTTGTTCCCACCCATGGACTTGCTGGCTATGTCAGGTCGCTCAGTGGAAGACCTTGAGAATAATCACCAGGTCACACCCAGCTGGAGGAATAGGACGAGTATTCTTTCAGGGCTTGTGGATATAATCGTCGGGGTTGCCGTGCGTTACATGCTCTTTATGATACTTGATGGGAATGGCTTCTAACCAAAGTGCAGAGCTCCAGCGCTCTCGTGACGTTCTACAGCATCCAAGGCCTTGTCAACACGCTGCAGATATTTGCTCTTCTGCTCAGCACTCTCAGTAGGAACTTAGGTCACTGATTGCGATGACGCAACTGACCGCCTGTATAGCATTTCGAGGTACGGATCTGGAGGATAAATGGCGACAACTCTTCCTGGGCACAATGTGAGTGACTTTCGTGTTCACCGTGCTCTCGCATTGACTCTTCGGTTAGCCCCAATGTCCTGGCGCTGAACTTTGCTTCCACTCTAACGCAATCACTGATCTTGCTCATGATCTTCATGGCCATCTCGACGGCTCTTCTCTACTATTTCCATCGAGCAACGAAGCTCGTCAAACGATACAAACGCCTAGAGGGCTTCCAGAAGGTCGAGCAGAAAGGAGGACTTATCGTGTTCGTCACTTTTTTGCTCACCGTGCTATATCTGCCTTTGAGTACCATGGCGGTACATGTACGTTTGTCAACTATCCCTTCGCTTGTCGTGTTCATGCCTTGCAGGTCCTTGTATGGAGCGATGACCTCTGGGCCGTTCCTAACCCATATACAAATGCAACGACCTATCCTCCAGTGGTACCATCTTTGGGACCTGCCGACGAATGGAGAGAGCCACTCGATTTCTGCTACACCACAACAATGAAGCGGAACGAGATAAACTTCGCGCCTCTTGTCGTAATCCTTTCCGCTATTGTGTTCGGCCTGGTATGTCTCGGTTGCTTCCTTATTCCTGTGATCATGTTTCGATGAGTGTTTCGAAAGTATACAGTATGGTTTCCAATACGCCTACGTCAAGTCGTGGAGGAAGGCATTCCGAAGGTTGACAAGTACACCGAGTTGGGAAAGTCGCGCAGCCGCAGTGATATGGACCGTGAATACCAGCGACTTCTCGAACGAGATCGTGGTCCCTTCACCTTCCTCTATAGCAGTTTGTCATTTGTTTGTGGCTCCGTCAGTTAAGTTGACACGGCAGTCTTGCACAGGTTTTCGTCGCGGATATGCCAATTTTGAATCCAAGTATCTCTTGGCGAAGCTCAGCTCCTTGCTCATCATCGCTGTCGTGAATCCGAACAACTGCCTCTTCCGGACTTTGAACCATGCAACATTAGCTGTCATCAAACAGTCGCTTTTACTTGCGGCCACCATAATCTTCTTGGGACAACAGTGCTATCTACGCCCCTTTGTGGATCCTGTCAACAATGCTAGCGAAGTTGTCTCCAGAGTTAACTATGTTGTCACCGCTTTCATCGCATTATCGGTCACACTTCAGATACCCGGCTACAAGATACTCAACGGACCCATGCTTTATCTGTATGGCATCATTTCGATCCTTTGATCTAGAAGCTCACGAAAGACTGCAGTTTGTATATTTTAACATATGTCCTTAGCGCATGTGAGGGTCAACAGTTGAGGTTCATGGCTTCTCGCTCATTGTTTACAGATTTTTTAATCGTCCAAATCAGCTACGTGCAGCGATTCATCAAGAGTAAGTGTTCACGTTGAGCCAATAAGGGGATGATTGCTCATTACGGCTAGTTGTGACCCGGCGCGTCGATTTCAGTGAGTCCATGATAGATAATGGAAGTTCAACATACAACATACTGAACGCGCGAAGGCATTGACATATTTTCACCGCGGTATGTGCGTTTAGCGAGTATGGTCCCCGTGTGTTGAATTTTTCATCACGCTGCGCAGGCTCGATATATCCGCCTCGTCACCTCATACGAGACGGCGAATATGGCAAGAGGCCATCTCAACCCTCATCCTCACGAGCGAGGAGTGCAAGATTCCAAAGGAGCAAGACATGACATTCGCTCAGGCTCCAGATTCCGAATACCCTCCGTATCTGCTCAACTTCATGAGGACCGTAGGTGAACGCCATGTAGAGAATTTGAAGGTTTCGTCTTCATATTCTGTTGACTCGACTCTGTGGCCTAAGCCGTCGTCTAGATATTACGCGAAGTCGGGCTTGATTCATATAATCGCGCACTTGCAGTATTGTATGGACCCAATCACAACCGGTTCAGACGTTTGGTCGAGGACATCCAGCGCAACTACTTAGGCCCGGATAGTTACTGGAGGGATCCGGGTATACCTCCCAAACCAGGTTTCACCAGATACTTCGGCAATTCCTGGTGGATTCCCTTTCCTCCCACACTGGTGAGTGAACTCGTACTACTTGCCAAGCCAAGAGGCTGAGTAGTGGTAGGTGATGCGATACGACGACGGTCCACTTGTGGTTCTTCAGGATCCTGCGCATCTCCGGCTATTTCGAGCCCAGAACTCCACTGAGGACATCTTGCGCCGGAAAAGAATACGGATGGCGCTCCGCTCTCTTCACGGACAGATAGTGACATGGCCGTATACACATGTTCAGGCAAGGGTCACCAGTACTTACCATGTGAAACCGGTGCTGACACTCCACATCCAGCCCGTAGGTGTAGGCGGATGGATGCGCAGATGGCGCTACTCTGCCGACAAGACAACTAGGTTCGAACGTTGCGTGTTTGTCCTGAAACACCGAGGTTGCCTTGTATTCGAGGGATCTGACTTCGGGTCCGGTTTTGACGTGTGAGTTAACAGCACAGAAAGAACGCCAGCCCCGACCTGATAATTCAACAGGGAACTGAAGTACACACATGATATTAGCGTTAATGGCGATATCATCGGCATCACTGATGATTACGAGCTCACACCGCAACTGGCACAATTTTTGACGCTTAACGAAGCCCTCGTGGAATCTCTCGTGGAACGAGTTGACATCGTCCTGACTCGATACCGCGAGGTATACTGGAAGGAGTGCCAGTTAAAATCGCAAACTATGTCATATCTCTTCTTGGCTTTCGTATACGACCGCCCTCGGCATCCAGCTGGACTCGCCGAGAGCTCCGTGCAGCACGAGCGGAATCTGATCCTGCGCCAATTGATGGTAGGGAGCGAGGAAGTGTTCAAGCTCACTTGCGACCGGCTGGCTGCTGTGTCTGAGTCAAGATTGGCTACTTGGTGGTACATCTTCTGGGTGTGTATCCTGCTGAGAATGCTCATTTCATGTAACCTCTGAGACTCTGTGCAGGATGACTTGTGGAGGCGCAATCACGATTCAATCTCGGGTCTTCAGACACATGCCTCAGACTTCGATCCGCATTCTCCTACTTCCATAGCATATTCGCCGTTACCACGGCCGGCGTTGGAAACATTCCTCACACAGCGTGGCTTACTGCCACGCAAGAATGGCTTCTTCCATGCCGGCTTTCTAAACAAGATCTACCTCCGTTTGAACGACATCGCATTTCAAGGATCTTCGACTGTGAGTATGATGTACTGGCTTATGATGCTCCTTCCTTCTGATTGTTGTCCAGGCGTTGATACTACACCTGGGTGACAACAAGTCTGAGCTCGACATGGCGGAAGCAGACCGGGAAACGCTCGCCGCACCTTCCAGCTTGGGTACAGGTGGTGGAACTGATCACGATGACGAAGATTACTCCAGACCGAGGCCAACATACCGTTGGGAGGGAATCTTTAGTGATACTCCACACCATCACCGCCCAACCTTGCGAGCAAAACTAATGGTGGCGTTGGGAATCTCACCTCGGTGGCCAACTGCGGAAGTGTCCGCGGGCTTATCCCTCGACGTGCGATTGGACAATGGCCGATATATCCTGCTGCACCGCGGTAACGAATCTGATAGTGGAGCTTCGACCTATACTACTACAGCTTCAAAATTCATATGAAAGGAAACGATACTATATTATACACTATCAAGTGAGAGCTAAAACGTCAAAGTCGGGCTCGTTTCCTTGGGCCGTATCCATCGTCCACCGGACGCTCGCGCCGCTTGCCACGACCGTCGGTAGACTGTGGGGCAAAAGGGCGGGACTTCTTCTCTTTTTGGCTGACTTTCTTCTGCCTTTTCTCGATCGCCCGTTTGACCGCTTTGGTACCGCCACTGGCCGCCAATGCCTCGTAGCGTGCCTTTGTTAGTAGCTCTCTCTTGTCCGCTGTTTCAACGCGTCAAATACTGCGCTACCAAGCGAAGTGATGGTTGCACGTACCATTCTTCATGTACCAAGCCTGCTTTCCTGACTTTCTGCGCTCCTTCTCCTCTCTCGAGACCTTCTCAAGTGCTGCATGCTCGACACGTTCCCGTTTGTCCTTGTTAACGGCGCTCTCCGCGCGCTTCAAGGCCGCTTCGAGGTTTTTCACCTCCGCCTCTCGCTCAGCGCGAAGATCTCTGGGTGACGATGCGAGCAGTTTTCGCGCTCTCTTCAAATTTTCACGCAATTCTTTGTGTTCTTGCTCGTGTAGTTCGGCCAAGAAGTCATATTGTTTGCGGAACTTTTCGGGGGCGAATTCTCCTGCAAGTGGCATGAATCGCGGATCGCGTGCTCGCTGGAACAGATTCAATGTTATTGGTAGAGATTCATATTGCAGCATCACTTGCCGCTTTCGGAACGTCTACCACGGTCCTCCGGCGAGTGACAGGTTTCTTGGAGGTGATTTCCGTTGGACTAAGGCATCGTCAAGGGATAAACGAACAGGGAGAAGAAGTAGACGTACGCATGCTTGTTAGGACGCTTGGCCAAATCCTTGCGGGGCCTCGTAGTCCATTCCCGTGTACCTTCTTTGGCCGGGAACGCCATGGTTTCGTCCCTTCTTTCCTCCTCAGATTCTGAGGTGTCGGACCTACTATCATCGTCGGAACTGCTCTCCGCCTCGGCGTGCGATAGAGCGTGCTGTGCTTTACGTAGTGCGCCGAAAGGCAAGGAGGCTAAGTCTGCGAGAGGATGACCATCATAGACAGTAAGACCAGCTACAGCTTCAACATACTGTTCTGGACGGAGGTCTGGGGTATCCTGAGTGTGTGAAGACGTCTGTACGCTGTGAAATACGCACCATATCTTCTTGCGTAATTTCGTACAGTGTAGAAGGTTCCTGTGCTTCACCCTCCGTCATGGAATCGTCGTCGGTCCATTGGACAAATCTTGGAGCGTCAACATCTTCGTCTTCACTAGCAGCGGAGTCCTCTTGCACAAGTTCTTCATCGCTAGCTTCACTGAAGTCACTCTCGCCATCCCTTTTCTGAGCATCACCTCTGGAGTCCGATGAGCCCACTCGCACTTTTCCAGCGGCCTGTTCGCGTTCCCGCGGTGCAGAGCCTGTAGCAGAATGTGTGGTATGCTGTTGAGGAGATCGCCTGGACTGAGGCCTTGGTCTCCGCGGCATATTTGGTCGTGAGAGAGCTGTGAAGAGGGATGTTTGAGCTGAGATGCGCTTTGCACGGCTCGCTCATCATCCTTGTGCTCCTTGGCCGATGGGCTGAACCCCGCCAAACTGGCCCACTATCTGGGCGACTAAACTGTCCAATTCTCTTCCGGGCATTACGAGGATGACACCTGGAATTGAAAACGCCGACCCCGTTACCTTCTCCGACGACCATGGGCTTGCTGCTGTCCATAACCTTGCTGATTTCGACGACGACGACATCTATAGAGGAGAACCTCCTACAGCACCTTCGCCTCCATCTCCACGACCTCGTACAACCTCTGTGAGCTCTTCGAGCAGCGGAAGTAGCTCCTCCTTTACTGGCCCTGGCGGTCGGCTGGGTACCCTCGCCGCTGTAGTTGAACATGCTATCACCCGATGGGCTCGAGCCAATTGGTCAACATCTTCGATAGATTCGACATCGACCTCTTCCTCATCTTCCAGCTCGTCCCACTCCGCTAGGACTTTATCCACGAAACCCGCGCGACCTCGCAGAGGACGGCGAAACTCGGGTCATGCCACACTGGTCAACGCGCAATCTGAAAGAAATGTAGTCGAATCTATGCGAGTTCGCGAGGAGCTCAGGCAAGCTCCACGCTCGTTTGCCTTGTATTTGCCTCCGTCCTTGACCAACGTCATTCCCTTGCCTGACGGCTCCATTAATGACCATATGATTCGGACCGATTCGCTCCCCGACATCATCTCTCGTCTAGACTCAGCGCTCAAGCGTTCGGGGCGGTTACGCCGGGTGCAAGAACGTGAACGCGCCAGACAAACCTTGGACGCATCTCCCACGTCAAATCCCCCTTCTACATCGCGGGATCGGACGCCGCAATCCAGGCAGCCAAACATGCTCCCAGACGCGGGACGAATTCGCAGAATGCGGAAAGGCAAGGACAAGGAAGGGTTGTCCCCCGTGTCGCAATACGTACAATCGATGGCCCAGCATCATTCCACCCAATTGTATCTTACACCGGATATCTCCTCACCCGACGTCGCAAGCCGGAAAGCCTGGTTTCTCGATATCACGAGCCCCAATTCTCAAGACATGCGTTCCCTTGGCAAGGTAGGAACAGTTGTGAGATACCAAGACGTCGCTCACGGGCGATTCAAAGCTCTTGCACATCCATCCCCTCACACTTGAGGATATTCTTCAACAAGACCCCCGGGAGAAACTGGAATTCTTTCCGAAACTTGGTTACTATTTTATTGTGTTTCGGGCGATAGAGGGCCAGAAGACCCGTGATAGGTTCCGGCAAGTACGCCATAGAGAAGGCGATCACACACCCCTGGAGGATCATAGTGTCCTTGGACAAATCAGTGTGTACCTGGTGGTCTTTAGAGAAGGTATCTGCGTGGTGTGTAGTCGCGTTCACTTATTCTTTCTGCTCATCAATGAGGCCGGTAGTTCCACTTCTCGGACATTACAGGTTCGAGCGGCTTTGGGGCATTATCGTTGTATAGCTCATAAATTTTACAGAGCACACGGATCGCGTACGTAACAAACTCATACTGCTAGATCAAACTCATGGCAGTTCCGCAGGTGAGTCGCTCTCCTGCTTTTGAATTCGCATCGTCTAAACAATATGCGTAGATTGGGTAGCGCACGGGATTCTCGATTCGATCGTCGACGACATATTTCCTTTCACCGACGAACTCGAGAGCGAAGTGGCTGCCATTGAGCAGATCGTGACGTTAGGTGTCGATGAGACCCTTTCTAGTCCATCGAGCGACCCGCGTGCTGCTTCTTCATCTACTTCAAGTTATTCTACTCAACATAATTGGGACCAAGAGGAGAAGTTTACTCGTGACTCCACGGATGGTGCATTTATCTCCGATATCGAGAAGCAGAAACCCTCGGCACGAGCGCATTTTGCCCTTCCGAGTCCAACAATTCGACAAATCATCCGGCGATTTTGCAGTGCCCTTCGAATGAAGTTGTCAATGCCTGTCTATGGAAACCTTCGTAGACCGCTCGATGAGAGCTCGACGACCCTAACCCTCCGGCGAATGGCAAGGACACGCAGACTCGTCACCAATTTGACACGTCTCCTTGCTACCAAGACAGAGGTTATAGCAGGTATACAGAAACGTCTTCTATCCGTAGACGCCCGTGGGCCTGGTTCGGAGGAGATCGCGATCTATTATGGGGATGTACAAGGTATGTAGACGTCATCCTTTACTAGCAGTGAGGCTAAGATCGATTCAAGACCACATTTTAACTCTGCAGCAATCTTTGATTCACTATGAGCGTATGCTAAGCCAGTCGTATCCTACTTACCTCACGCAATTGCGCCTATCGGCCTCCAACCTCAACTCGAGGCTGGACAGAGTCCTTGTGTTCCTCACGACGGTCACTGTAGGCGTGTTCTGTATCCAGCCTCTCGTCGGTGAGCCGACTTGTGTATCTTCGCCGGTCCAGACCTGACCCCATAATCTTCCAGCCTTATTCTCGATCAACGTCAAGATACCAGCCAACGGGCTGACACCAGGACATCCAACTATCGTCTTCCCGATAATCATCGTTGGTGCCTTGCTCGAAATCAGCTTCTATCTGGTGGTGGTCAGGTGGTGGTGGAAGAAAGCCAAACGTAGACGGGGCCGACGGCAAGCATTACGATAGAAGATTGTTAACGACATCGTACTGATCTAATACATATGATACATTTCACGACTATGTACACGGTAATCCATGCCAAAAAAACCCTCGAAGTCGTCCTTACATCGGTGCGGTTACGTTTGGTTTTCCATGGAGTTGCTGTACAACTCTCTTCGTTTCCTCCAAGACATTATTCACTGTTGGAGTAACCTATCAGCCACCCGCTTACTGCCACCACCAACATAAGAACCTTTAGCTCGTAGCATCCGATTCTTTTCCTCGAGCTGAATCTCGAATTGTCCAAGCGCTGCTTCTTGCTCGAGTAGCGCATTCTCCTCGAGTTGCAGTTTATCAAGCTGACCGCGGAGCCACGTGAGCGATTCGTTCATCTTGAGACGTTGACCCGTGATCTCTTCCAAACGTTCCTTGAAAATGCCGCGGATTTCTTGACGTTCCTGGTCTGTTGGGAATAGTCAGAAGGACATTGTGATCGGCATAGTGCTATTAAGTAACGCAAACCAGCTAGTTCGACCTCACGGGCTGCCAATTCAAATTGCGACTGGTCCATGGCCCAAGCGACATTCTTGGCTTGACTGACGTAGCTCATACGCCCCAAGCTGCCCGACCTCTTGAGACTGCTTCGCCTGCGGGTAAGACCCGGTCGCGAGACTATGGAGGCGTCATCATCACCGGGGCCTCCTTGTGGCTGCATGGATTCACCAGTCGGCTGCGGAGCTGGCATGTTCATCTGAGGTTCTGCAATAGGCATTTGCGTGGGAAAGCCGGAAGCGTCCATCGTCGCGGGTGGGTGATGATACGGGTGAGGTAAAGGCTCTGGAGATCTTACTGTACCAGGCAGCGGCACGGTATTTCCAGTGTATTGTGGCCGTAGATGTCCGGAGTGTTGTGGTTGTATATTAGCGTATTGTGTCGGAGCATTGTCTGTATACTGCTGCTGCATGCCGGGATGGAACTGGGCGGAGGGGTCTGGTATCGGTGTATAGGTGCGTGTTGGCTCGAGAACTGGGGACAGACGATCAGAATGGGCTGTCATAAATCGTTGATTATGCGCAGCGTCCGAACCAGCGTCGGATGAGGAAGTTGGCGAGAGCGGGAAAACGGATGGAGGGACCAGCGGCGGCTCCGGCGCGCTTAAACGCTGCTGTTGATCCCAGACAGGAGTGGTGGTAGTCGTTCGCATGGACATGCGCTTGCTATCGCGTCGCCCATCCCCCTGAGAAACACGAGGCGCTTTCTCCTGTTGCGTTAGGTCTGGTTTGCCTATCTTGGCACCCTGGTCCTTGAGCCACCGTTCCATTTCTTTCAAGCGAAAATCGGGTGGGGCGTATACGGTGCGAAAGGACAGTGTAGGCGCCTGAGCAGGGTTCGTATTGGCTAAACGTTGACATTTGCGGATCATGCGATCTTTAAGGTGCCGGATTGCCATTATACGCTTCCAAGAGGCCGATGGACCATACGCAAGCTCGTCCTTCTCCATTTGAAGAAGCTGGGAGTACAGCAGTGCCGTGCGAGGCGGTAGCAACACCTTAGGGAACTCCACTTCAGCATAAGCCTGGCAGAAAGGTGCATCCATCCGACCTTCAGCTCGTTCGGTGTGTCAGTACACTGCGTTCCATATGAGTAAAGGAACGGTGAGAGGTCAGAGAAATCGTGGGTGTTCACCTGAATGTATCTCCATCCTGTCCGCGTTCCTGATTCGTGGGGCTCTAGCTGCCCACGAACCGGGCTAGCCTGGAAGTAGTGCGCGGGGGGAGCGGTACTGGTTGGGGGCATATTGGAAGTGGTGGTTATGGTATAAGCGGTGTCCAGTAGACCTCTGGAAAGGCGTGTGGTACACGAGCACGTATTGTCCGTCCGCTTTACATACAGAACAGTGTGCCAATGCACGGCTCGAGGAGGATAATGGTTGACTTTGTAACACAGCCACATCAGTACAGTCCCATACAGCCACGCTACTGCCTTTGCATCGATTTCACGCGCATACGGGGCCGGCTCGCCTGTTCCCGCGGGCGCGTTTCATTCTGACCGTTGGCTCCTGCTCCCATGTCCTCAGTAGCTCGTTACGAATCGTTTCTCGTCCACAATGCTTCGACGATATCTGGACTGGAATCTACGCTCCGCTCCCTCTCCTGGCTACTGCCTGGTCGCTTCAAGGATGCAGAGCTAGCGACCGAACTCCGTTGGTCCCTCATATTTCAGTGGTGACGAGGCATTGACGCCCCTGCACATATATGTATGCACAACGACAGTGTCGGCCTCTCTCAATGTATTGAGCATGTACCACGACACAATTCTCTCCCGCATCGTCAACGCCGATCCGAAGCACAAACCCCTATTGCCCTCGTCCCAGCACTCGCGTTACACGCGTTCTTGGACCGAGTCGAGCCAACTTTACAGATGGGCAGCCAGGACCCTAGAGCTCATCCGATTTACGGAACTGTTGGTGGAGATGGGTTTACGCCGGAAGGTTTCTGTCAAAGTGAAATGGAGAGCCATTGTTCTGATTGAGACCATAAAGTCAGTTTATATCCCCTGACAACCGTCTCACCGTGCGACTCAATCTTGGCAGAGCGCTCCTCCGTCTTTTAATCCTGCGCATCACACGCCGGCCATTAGTGTCCCCCCTGATTCCCGAGCGGGAATATGATCCTTCGACGCTTCCTCCTTCAGGAGCCTCGTCGCCGACTCTGGCCCCTTCTTCTCCCCCAGATTCCGCTCCAGCCACGCCCGAGCACTTGAAAAACAATCATGTTCCCTTGCCTCTGCATCCTCTTCTATTGCCTTCTGCCCCTGGACAATCCGCTGAGGATTATCTTCTCTCGAAAGCATTGACAACATCGGCCGTGCGGTCTCCCGTGAACCTCGTGAAACCGCTAACTTCATTATTGGAGTGGGTCGCTGAGATCATCTATATCTGTCGGCCGCTCGTCTATGGTGCCCATTCCACTAAATTAGCATATTGCCTATTGATGTGTTTTGATATTCTTGTAGCTGCCATGCTGGCTCGTGACCGACGATCGAGCCGCCCTATGACCACTCTCGTGGCCCTTGAGATTTTGTCTCGTAACCTTCGCCGCACTCCCTCGCCTTCCTCGTCCCTTGAGCGTTCTGAGTATGCACGTCGTGATCGAGATATCCTTTGGTATCTCCTTCGGGGACGGATCTGGCAATCTTATACTCGGTACGCATTGAGTTTTGCTATTTCCTGCACTTTTACTTGTTTTGTGGTCGTTAAACCCTATGCGCAGGCCGAAACTGGACTCTTTCGCGGAGAAGGCTTCCCATTCGTCCTTCCTCTCAATTGCAGGGGGGCTCGTCAAGGATTGGTTGCCTCTGATTGATGAATATTACTATTGTGCGCGCAGGTCATCCTTATACATGCCCACAGTACTAACCAGCTAACATTATAGATTCCGCGCCCTAGTCTCGGGTCTTCTTCACTCCGACGTCTCGCTAGCTGTAACCTCGTCATCATATCTACGCATCGTACTCTATATATGCTCCTGCCGCCGCTGCCGCCTCAATGAACGGTGGTAACTACAACAAACCTCAACTATGCAATTCAGTGCCAATGGTTTCTCTGCATCACATCGAGAAGGCAAGGGAGATCATCGTCGCAGTATCCTCCTTGAATATTCCCAACGAGCCTAATCCGTGATCAAGCGCCAGGACATGGGTTTGCCAGCGCATACAATATTATATTTCTGCTCCGTAAATTGTAAGGTTCTCACCCTTACGGCACTCGAAGTTTTGTGGCACATGCAACAGACGATCTGTCCCAGCAACCCTGTTGGATCCCTCCTCCAATGGGCCAACTCTGAATGCCTCCGCTCCGAACCTGCAACGCTCATTCTGCTCCTGAACCACTAAGCATAAGTATTGGGCTGCAGACCTGAGCTGCGACGCCATCTCGATCACGCTTATAAACTACACCCTTGACATGGAAATCACTAGGCCTACCTAGCAGTGACCTTGATGCAAACGTCCATGCATATCGTTATTAGCAGGGGGTCAACAGAGTCGGACAGGCGTGGAAATGCCACTATTGAATATTGAATCTCGAGGTCTCGATCTCTTAATCCGTCGCGAAGCTTCTATCGCCTGCCCTGAGTCCTGAGGTGCCGAATCACCAACTGACGCCATGCACATCACGGCTTTTGTTCTGCGGCGCGCCCGGTACCGCGACCAAGAATACGTATCTTGCATTTCGGTGTATATAACCCGCGCGTTGCACAATCAGCTTAGCGCACCATCCTCTCAAATCCGAAGTCCAGGTCCCAATCACTCCACTGCCGTCCCTGTGGGCAATATCGCTGGAACACTATGGGTCCCCTCGTCTCGAAGTCCGTGAATGCAGCGGATACGCCCCAGCTACTCCCAAACCCTCGTCGTATCGTGACCGCTCACGATGCGAGGGGCAACGCTGTCGTGCAGAGCGACGGGCTGATCCCAGCAGAAGTGGGTTCTCCTGCATTTGGCACAAGTACCACGAGAGGTGTTGACCTTGGCACTGCAGGCGAGCAAAGAGCCGGGACTGCGAGGGGCGGCTCTGTGGGTATGCCTTACAATTCACTATGGTGAGCATAGCTCACCTTGACCATTATCTTCCAGATCACGAGCAGTATGCCCGTAGAAGACAACAATGACAAGTAAGTGGAGTGCTTGCAGGGTTATCGGGCTCATATATATTCCCTTTGATTGCTAGTATCGACGGCGCCGCTCGTGAAATCGGGGGTTTAGGGCTCGTGATGCCCAATGGAACGAATCATCGGTATACTGATCTCGCTCCGGGAGCCGTAACGCCTATGCATCGTACCAACTCGCTGGATTACAACATTCTTATCTCTGGGGAGGTTGTACTAATCTTGGAAGACGGCACGGAAACGCACCTGAAGAACCCAGGAGATGTCGTTGTGCAGAAGGGCACAATGCATGCATGGAGGTACGGAGATCTCACCCGACTCCTGCTGTCACAAACTGTTGACGACGGCATACATCAAGGAACCCTAGATCACAGTGGTGCAGATGGGTGAGCGTCCTGATCGATGCGAAGCCTGCGGTGATAGAGGGGAAGGCATTGGACGAGGCCTGGATTCCTACCGCGATAGGATGAATTTCCAAAATAATGACGACCTTGGATTGACCTAGGAGATAGAAGTGTAGACGATGCTTTGAAGCGGCACGCTCGGACCGATGGTCCACGGAACCCGATCGGCCTTGTGACCGATAGTGACTTCGATTGCGATCGCTGCGGGGCTCCACGGGGTAACCGGTTTATGAAGCGGGACACCAGTGCGGGACAGACACACATGTTTACGCGATTCACATCATAGCTTAGGCTCTAACGATTATGACCTTCTCGCGATGATTAGTAACGTATGCAATTGGATATTCCGCGAGAGCTACTGAAGGTTCACAAAAAGACCTCCATCCACGAGCAACGATGCACCAGTCACGTATTTAGCCAAATCACTGCCAAGGAAGACAACAGGTCCCGCCAAATCATCCGGTTCTGTGCTACCTGAGCATAATCAATGCACTCAAGGTGAAGGAATACTCACCGCCCAGTCGCCCCAGGCAAGTTCTGGAGATCATATGCTCGCGTTTGGCCGCGTCAGAAAGGTCCTCCTTGTTGATATCGGTGCTGTGCATTATTGCGCATTGTGATGAACAAAGATTTCTCAAAGCCGGAGTAGGTACTCACGCGATTGTACCGGGTAAAACTGAGTTGCAGCGAATGCCGTATTTACCGAGGGCAACAGCGCAACTTTGCATCAAACTATTGATACCTGCCTTGGTCGGTGTATAATGACTGTAAAACGGTCAGGACGGCAGTACCAGGCGAATCCGAACGATTTACCATTGCATGGCGCCGCCTACCAATGCGGAGATCGAGGATATACCAATGATCGATCCGCCTTGAGGCTCCTGATTCTTCATGACGTTGCCAACCGCTATTCAATAATGAGCACCATATGCGTCTCGAGAACATGTTTAATACCTTGCACCATGTAAAAACAGCCATCCAGGTTGACCGAACGCGTCCTGGGAAAGGGTGTGAAGACTATGAACCTGAGCGCGTGTTTTACCGACCTTTCCCAAGTGCTGTGGGGCATGGACAAAAATTCCGAAAATGGACAGATGCCAGCATTACTAACAAGCATGTCTGTAAGATGGTTAGATGCACGAGCAGGGAGGCAATCATGCAAGGTTTTACCGATCCGCCCAAAATTCTTCACGGCGACGTCCGCAACATTACGTGCGGTGGAAGGATCGGCAATGTCCCCGGGTACTGCAACGACGGTGGCACCGGGAGAGCTACGAGATATCTCAGTGGTGAGTGATTGAATCTCTTCTTCAGTCTCCTTGTCGCCTAGATAGTGTAGAACAAGACCCTTTGCACCATATTGCGCGGACTTGACGGCACAGGCCCTGCCAATACCGCGACTTGAGCCAGTGATGACCACGATCTTGTTCTCAAGGAGGGACATTCTTGAAGCAAGGGCCGGGGGAGTCCATGTCACGGAGGCTAGTGGCTAAGAGAGCAGCAGTTCGCTGGGCGGTCCGGGCCGCCGACTTCCTTCATGACCTTCTCTGGTCACAGGGACGTCGATGGTCACAGGGACGTCGATGGCTACAAGCCCGTATCTCACCTGGCCCGAAAGCCGGCATCCCTCAGAGCATAAAATTCGAATGCATTCACTATCAACTCAGTATCCACTTCACGCCCCCTGCCATCCAAGCTATCATGTCCGCGAAAATGTGATCATCCCTATGTGCTTCGCTCACCAGCCCCAGCTCATGCCGCTTCGTCATCCAGCTACTACGACTCTGATGCCGATCTCGGTGTCCTTGCTGATAAGACGATAGTTTTCCTCGGGTGAGCACGAAAGCATCGCAACTGGGTCCGTCGCACTCATCCTTCGGTAGCTTTGGCAATCAGGGTGCTGCACAGGCACAGAACCTACGAGACAGCGGTATCTCAAACGACAAGATCATCATCGCGAACCGAGAGGACGCCTATGCGGAAGATGCCAAATCGCGCAAGTTCAATGTCGAGCATGACTTCTCCAAGGCAGCTGCTGCGGCAGATAGTGCGTATTCGCGCCGAGTATTCAGATAATCGTTAGTTCAACATCATTCCCAGTTCTCTTCTTACTCGTCCCCGATCAAGTGCAGCCCAGGATCTTCAACGAGGAATTTGCCCCTCATCTCAAGGACGACGTTGCCGTCGTGATCGCGAGCGGCTACAATGTGTTCTACAAGCTACTGAACTTCAAGCCCACCCAGGACGTAGTCATGGTCGCTCCGAGGTACTGATCTTATATTTCCATAGCTTTGGATATGCTACTCACGATGTGGCTTATGGTTCAGGATGATTGGGTCCTCCGTGCGCTCGCTATACGAGAAGGGCAAGGGCTTTCCCTGCTTTGTGTCAGTTGAACAGGATGGTACCGGAAAGGCACTATCGATCGCCCTTGCTCTCTCACGTGCAATCGGAGCGACTCGGACAGGCGCCATTGCCTCTTCTGCTCGCGAGGAGACTGCGATGGACCTGTTCGCCGAGCAAGCCCTGTGGCCCAACATCATCATGCTTTTCAGGTCAGTCTTCCTACCTGCCACGTCAAATGCGTTAATCAAAGGAGGAATCATCAGGGAGGCCTTCGGCGTGCTGAAGGAAGCTGGTTGCTCGGACGAGGCTCTATGCTACGAAATGTACGTTCGTCGTTTTCACGGAGGTGCAAGGCAACTCACGCCGATGGGGCAGGTGGATGTCGAAAGAGCCAGCTGAAATCTTCGAGGCTGCCGCGGAAGAGGGTTTCATTACTCAACTGAAACATCATTCGAGCGTCTCGCAGTACGGCCAACTGAACGGCGCTCTCAAGCTTGACGGCTCTGCCATTCGCTCACACTTCAAGGATATCCTTTACAACCAGGTTCTCAACGGCAAGTTCTGCAAGGAGTTCTCCCAGATCGAGACCGATCTCGAGAAAGAGGGCGATGCAAACCCGTTGAACGCACTTTACAAGCAGGCAGAAGAGGGCGAGATGGGTCAAGCCGAGAAGCGTGTTCGTGCAAGATTGGCAGGGCTTCTCTAGGTCAAATTCGGTTCGTGTGTATCGTAGAGGTGTACAATTAGGTAGAGGAAATGAATGCATAGACGTGCCGCATACATTGCCCAACAGGATGAAGTGTTTCCCTCCTTAAACGGCTCAATTGTATTTGCCATTCTTCAACTCCTTGACGAACACACCCACACTGCTCTCCTCTACGAGCCTCGTTACCCTGGACTCTTCGAGCACTGGCTCTCCAGACTCGTTCTGCATTGCCTCATGCTTATGAAGCTTGCTGAAGACGTCTTTACCTAAGTAGGAGGACAGCGGTTCAGAAAGGGCTATTTCAGTTAGATATGGAAGTACCTATGCTGACGCCCTTTTCGAACACACTGGCAAGTGCCATTTCCACGCGGTCGTCACCATGTTTCTTCACCCCTTGCGGCATGTAAGGTAGGTGTGTGCCCGGCACAAATGGCCAGTAGTGTTTCAACTCGGCCTCCAGTTGCGTAAGCTCTGCTACCAACGCAGGATTTGCGTCGATATTCTGCTTTAAAGCGGGCATTAAATGGGACTGATGCAACACCGAAAGGTGAATCTTCTCGTGCGTGACATCGTTCGTGGACGTCGGAAGCGTGCGAGTCACAGTGTCCGTCAACTTCATGATACCAGTCCGGGGGTCATGAGGAGGGAGTTGTCCCCATGGAGCGACAGGGTCGACAAGCGAGGTTAAATAGCGGGCGTCGACAGCAATAATGTCTTGAATTTTAGAGACCATCCACCACAGAGTCAAATCGGAGAGATCGTGTTCTTGCCAACCACCGCCAATCTACGGAACGATCAGACCTCTGACATAATGAGGGAACAGACGCCCTCACGTCTGAATGAGAACCTATTGTCATGGTTAAGCTGATGCAAGACCAAAAAGAGCCTGAAACACGTGCCGGAGAACCAAACCTGTCACAGTTTCAGCAATAGATCTGGATGAAGGAGGTACTAAAGATTATCCACCTGGTCTAGTTTTTGCCCCTTAGAATGGCCTCCAGGTGTTTGCTCGAATTTGCAGACGTTCTACAATTAATTGCGCCAGAGTTGAACTTGGTTCTCTTGAGATATATGGAGAAACTTACGAAGTCCTCGCGGGTTTCGTTCAAGGCCATGGCGTGATACTGTGCATGATGTATCAGCATGGCCAACTTGATTCACGGCTTGGCACTTGCCGCTCGTTGGATATGTTCTCCTAGGGTACGATCAGAGAAGCCGAATAATGTCTTCACGGTCTGAGAGTGGGTCAACTCCTCGGGGAGACCCACGCTTCCGACAGTGTCGAAGACGCCGACACATTTGATAGAGAAGGAGTGCTCATCGGAGTCCGCTCTGAGCTTCCCAGGGGAATTGTGCTGTACCCAAGGGTGCAGTTCCTTGTCCAACTTTGCGATCTCTGCGATACTTCAACCCATGGTCGATGAAGCTATCCGGTTGAACACTTTCCTTCAGGATCTTTCTCTTTGCCGCGCTTCTGAAACGCCATGAAGACCGAAGCAAAATGATCCATATCTGTGCGGTCAAGAACGCCTATCTCTCCCTGTTGGCGCGCATTCCGTCAAGGGTCGTTTAGCAAGAGTGTCCCCGACGTACAATCATAGCTGCCACCATACGAGCGGTGTAAGCACCCTGCGGAGCGAGAGTCAGGTCACGAGCACAAGAGCAATCAATGCGATACTAACCCTCGAAAATCCGAAGAGGAATATCTAGCCGATGTATGTTGATGATGGTTGGTGACAATATGACACGTCGCGTGCGACAGTTGGTGACTCACCTCATCGCCTGGACGATAGTTGCTGTGAAGCAGGTTTAGCATCGGTTCCCCAGCGGGTCATCGACGAATGCACTGACTGTGCGATGAAAGAATAGGCTTCCTGTACCTTTGATGCTGCGGTATGCTTGACATCAACGCATTGGGGTGTTTCAAGATCGATATAACTCACCTAGGTGGGCACCCACAGCACCTTTTGTCGTACTATTCAGTGAGAGAAGCCATGCATAGCTGTTCAAATACCTTCAATCTTGGAAAGCAACGATGTATCGTCGGTTCCCACTCCGCTTTGGTAGAAGACAATCTGGCATGGGCCGAGTCAGAAGAATATGCACTGTGTCGTTCATCGACACTCCACCTGCGGAACAGGAGGATCACTAGAGGATTTCCGAACAGCGTGAGTTAATGTATCAATCGAGAGTATGCCTGAGCATACTAGCGATCATCTGTGTGCTTGATGGTCCTTGCAAGCTTCTGAAATATAGTATTACTGATCAGAGTAGAACGGCTGGATGAACTCTTTGGTGCATGCCAGGACGTTGGTATATTTCCATCTTTCTGTGACTATAAGACCGTCATCCCAGGTTCTGGAAGCGCTTTGACTGAGCACAAGGGAGCGATTGTAAGGTCGTGCACACGAACCCATCGCAGCAGACGATGACGCGCTTGAAATACTGTCCCTTAGAGTTTGACCTCTGGCCAAGCTCAGTCGCATACATTGGATGAGGCGGAGGGACACTTTGGTCGGCGGACATCGTCGCGGTCAGCAGGATGTGTGCGTCGGCTCAGGGGAGTGGATGAGCTCTTCAAGGTCGTAGCAGGGGAGCGCCCACTGGTAAGAATGAATGCCTTGCGCTAAGATTAGCAACTTCAATCATTGTGTGGGCGCGTGCACCTGCTTCGGCAACGCGCACAAACCGGTGCAGCTTGAGAAAACGTTAGCCAGAAAGCGCCATCTGTTTTGTCGTTCGGCCTATCAGCAGGCATGTATCCATCATTCATCGATGCAGTACAGAAACAGAAAAGGTAAAGTGGTCAGAGATCGGATGCATGCACCGGAACGGCGAATGAGCGAACCCGATGCTGCCAGGCACCCCCGTCAGCAGCAGTCACTTATCTGCGCACCACATTGCTCTATGTTATCTCCACCGTCACTACTGGGAGTCGACTCAGACACGGCGAAAAAAAAACCAGATTAGTCGAAAGGTGCAGCAAATCATTTCCCTAAGCGCATTTCCGCTCCGGCGAACTCGTCGAGTGCCGTCCGGAACTCCAACTCGGTCAACGACGTGGGACAAGGCGCCCTCCATGGACTTAGCCAGTTCGGTGTCCTAAACATCTCGTGGCTAAAACAAAGATATAAGGATAAATTACGAGTGCACCTATAGGTACGGCAGTGCTCACTGGAATTCTGTCAGCCTGATCTGCCATGGCGGAAACTCGTGCAATTCCAAGGGAGTACGAGGAGCCCTGTTGCCGTATACATTGTGTACAATCAATAGGTCCGGTGGTGGTAACCCGTGAGGACCTTGTATACGTTTCAGGAGGACCCACTGACACATTACTCAGAACTGACCTTCAAGGATATTTTGTATTGTCTCAACAGAGAGCGAATCGGAAGAATATCTTTCCACCCCAGTCGATGCCTGACTCATTCGTTCGCCGAAGGTACGCGCGATCTGGACTATAGCCGGTTTCGAGCCATGCGCAGAGACAATATGCACCGTCAAAGGATGTGCTCCTTGAGATGTTTTGCTGACTAGTACGAGATTAACGATATAGCGCAGGTTAGCTTGCGGAAGCATCCCACCTGCGGAATACCGCCTCTTGACGCCGAACTTCGGAACCTGAAGTTTTCGAGCGGGTATACCACCAGATGTGATGGTCATCACGCGAAGATGAAGTCCCAGCTCGAAGTGATCAGGTGACAAAGGCCTTGAGTCAGAGGAATCAGAGAGAGGGGGTGTAAGAGGATACGCTATTTCGTGATTGCTCTGGTCCATTTGTTCGTCACATGAAGCGGATACAATTCGTCCACGGATGTCCGACACCCGCTCCACAAGAAGTCCTGAGAATCTATCAAAAGGGGCTGGATATGTGCTGCTGCTTGCAAACGCGTACCTTCGCGATCATAGACCGTTAACCTAGGAATACGAGCGGCACGGCACCAGGTAGCCGCATTTTCAACGGTATTGAGCAAGGCAGTGACCGTAGCTTGCAAGTTTTCTTCTGTATTCGATGCAAGCACGACTGCTAGGTGCTGTGGAGTTTTGCGACGATGCGCTAGGAGGGAGTGTGGTTGCCTGCTGAAGCGGTAGCGAACGGAGGCCAGCAACGTGACTACCGTGTAAAGACAGTGCAGCAGACGCAGAACAACTGAAGCTACGACAGGCATAGCGGACACGACGAGGCGTCAACGTTTCTATGAGCGCTCACTGGATTTCGAGATGCACAGGCATACTGGCGGCCGAGGACATGCAGCGACTGACGCGACGTGGAGCTTTATTTCGAGCAGTCTTCATGAAGCGCTGCATGCACAGCCACGGGCTTATGACCGGTTAATATAGATAGGACTGCGCAAACAAAAGTTCGAAATACAAGAGAACATCGTAAGTAACGCGACAAACCACGTCGTCTATCTCAACGCGGGCTCGTCAACATCCTGGAGGCCACGTTTAATCTTGAGCAACATAGCAGTCTTCCAGTTGTCGAGCTTCATCACTTGGTCGTACTCCACAACCGCACCAGTGAATGTTTCCTGATCATCGTTCTCGACAGCATCGGTCAGAATATTGACAAATTTGGCTTCGCGGGTGGATGCAAAGGTCGTGTCCAACGCGGTGTACTTCTGCATGTTGCGCTTGCATAGCACGGTGTCCTGGATCGGTTGTCAGAAGATGACGCGAAGGAGCACACCAAGGAAACCTAACCCTCATCGCTAATGCACAAAGGCTGGCTCGGAGCCAGTACTCTTTGACGCTGTAGCGCGTGAGATTCGAGGTGAGAGAGTGATCGGCGACCTGTTCATAACGTGCTATTGCTTGAGGGTAATCCTCGAGTTCTGCATGAAGATCGGCTGCATCCTTGTAACATGCGTTCGCCGTCCTATATACGAGATCATCATGAGCTGGTATACGCAGGTCCACGAGAGTGAGAACTCACGCCTTAGCGTCCTCCTGGTCATACCATTCTCCTGCGCGCTCGTAGCTCTCACAGGCCCTCCGCATATCGTGAAGCTCCTGCAAGTATATCTGCGCGATCTCTTTCTCCCGATCGGCTGCTTGTCTGAATCTGCCGCCCTTGGTCAAAAATTCGATAGTTTGACCCAACGCCATGATAGCCACTTCGGGAACCGATGAGCACCCGCATCCATCAATACGTCGCTTGTACTTACGATCAGGGTGCCCCTGCTTGTACGCCTTCGCGGCATTCCACCAGGCGTTGGCGGCTTCGTTCAGTTCCTTGCACTTCTCTCTGCATTCCGCTTCCTTTGCGAACGCGTCACCTGCTGCTTGAAACTGTTTGTCTAGCTTGAAGGCGTTGGCGGCTTGCTGGAACAGGTCGCCGCCTTCTTCCCATTTGGTGGTACTGGACGAGAACCAGCCAGAGGACGAGGCTGCCTTCTTCTCTGCTTTCTCGAGGAGAGCCTGTGCAGGCGATTTGGCAGGCATGGTTGATGGTAAGCTGCAGGGTGGAACACCCGTAGTACCAAGGCTGTGGCAATCTCCGGCTGTCACACGTGTTGTCGTCATAGCCTCAAGCGCTGCGTTCGGGCATTGGGGGTTTGAACAGCTATACAACATCGCGATTACGACCATACTGTTGCCCCCACTACTCTCTATAATACGAGATTGGACAAGAAATATTGCAGTGCGTGTAACACGGCTGTGACGGATCTCTGCGATTTCTCATCAGAACTTCACTGCGCTGCACCGGGTCGCTCATAATATGCATTATGCATCACGACGCGTATAGTCTTCAGACCGCTTGCAATCGCCTTTCAAAAGCAGATCCTCCGCTACTGATTCAACAAACGGGATGACTTCTTCAATCATTCACGACATCAAGCCTCTCGCCGATCTGCACCCCAAGCCGGAATCGGTTCATTTTCAATACGGCACCGCCGGTTTTAGGACTCTGTACGTAGCGTCAAGTCCTCAATACAAACATAGGCTGACGAGTAGAGGACAGAGGTCATGTGCTGGACTCTGTCCTGTTCCGCGTAGGCATACTTGCAGCTTTGAGGAGCAAGAAGCAGGATGGCAAAACCATCGGAGTGATGGTCACCGCTTCGCATAACCCAGAAGTTGTGAGATAGGCCCATCTTGATCGCGCCGCCATTACCACTCAGATCGTTAACAGGACAATGGTGTGAAACTTGTTGATCCTCGTGGCGAGATGCTCGAAAGCTCCTGGGAAGCGCATGCCACCAATATCGCCAATGCACCCACCACGGACGCCCTCGTCGCTGGTCTGGTCAAATTTGTAGATGATTTGAAGATAGATTTATCCAAGCCCGCGAGGGTTGTATATGCCCGTGACACTAGGCCTTCTGGAGCCGCCCTGGTGTCTGCACTAGACGACGGTTTGAAGGCCCTCGGCGCAGAAGTTCGGGATGCTGGTGTGACGACAACACCGATTCTGCATTACCTGGTCAAGGCGATCAATACCAAGGGTACATCTGATTCATACGGGGATGACTCGGAGGAGGGGTACTACCAGAAATTGAGCTCTGCCTTCAAAAGGCTGGTGGTGAGTTACTGGGCACATGCTCTTGACGCGTTTCGTAACCACTGCTATAGAAAGGGCGGCCAGCCATACCTCCGTTACTGATTGACTGTGCAAACGGAGTTGGTGCATTTGCTGCTGAAAAGCTCGCTCAGCATTTGCAAGATTCCATCACCTTCATCTTGGCAAACACGTCAACAACAACTCCAGGTGCTCTGAATAACGCGTGCGGCGCTGATTTCGTCAAGACGCAACAGAAACTTCCGCCTTCTCTCGAGGGCAAACTGAAGTCCGGACAGCGGGCGTGCAGTCTGGACGGAGATGCCGATCGTCTGATGTACTTCTACCTCGACGAGCATAGTCAATTCCACATGCTCGACGGCGACAAGATCGCTGCCCTTGTGGCTGCGTTCATCGGGGAACTGGTCAAGGCCGCTGGCCTCGACGAAGACATCAAAGTGGGCATCGTGCAAACTGCGTACGCTAACGGCGCTTCCACGAAGTACTTGGCTGACGTGAGTCTTGTAACTCCGCGTCCAACCTACGTTCTGACCTCCCCCTATCAGAGGGTACCAGTGAAATGTGTGCCCACCGGCGTTAAACACCTGCATCATGCTGCGGAGAGCTTCGATATCGGCGTGTATTTCGAAGCCAATGGGCATGGTACAGTCCTGTTCTCCCGCGAGACACAGGAGAAGCTTAGATCACACGAGCCAACATCTCCCGCTCAATCCACCGCGCAGGGCCACCTCATCGCTCTGACCGAACTGATCAACCAAACCGTCGGGGATGCATTGTCGGACATGCTGCTCGTGGAGGTCGTACTGGCACACAAATCATACACCGGCATCGAGTGGGATGCGTTATATGCAGACCTGCCGAACCGTCTTGTCAAAGTGGTGGTTGGGGATCGTAATGCCTTTAGGACAGTGGATGCAGAACGCCGCTTGGTGAGCCCTGCAGGGCTGCAAGAGAAGATCGACGCTCTCGTAGGCGGATTCGAAGGTGGAAGGTCTTTTGTCCGCCCAAGCGGTACAGAAGACGTCGTACGAGTGTATGCGGAAGCTTCCTCACGTGTTCAGGCGGACGGTAAGCCATTCACCTCAGGAAGAGCCGTACGCTTTTCTGAACGGATCCACAGAACTCGCGTTTCGCGTTGCTGGCCTTGTTTACGATCAGGCAGGCGGAGATCCCGCGAAGCGTCCTGTCGAGTTCCTGTGATAATGATGTTCCAAGTTTCGAAGTGCATTTCATTGGCATATGCACGACAAGAATCCGATGGTTTATTATATGACTGACGTCGATCGCAGTCGAAACCACGCGTTCATATAGATGACACCAGGGAGCCTAGCGAAGACCAATCCCCCTAATGCCGGATACATGCAATTCATAAGATCAGCGTTGATTGAAGATCAAGCGTTGTACAACTTTTGCATCACGATATCTTCGCGTTAGAGAAATCGAGCTCTGGATGAGCTGCTTTGAACTTCTCCAATGCCTACGACACTTAGTCAGTACGGACACACCAGACAAGCATGGAACGCTTCGGACCTCCATCTTTTTCAGCTCATCAGAAGTGGGTTTTCCCATTTGCTGAAAACTCATGAGCATCGATTCAGTGACTTTGATCCCTGAATTACCTTCTGTTGTTGATCAAACTGCAGAAGCAGCTTGTTGAATGCCTGCAGCCTGACAGAAATGCATACGACGTACCATCATCTTCTCGACCATAGCCCTGCAAGACAAAGATCAATACAATGCTCAAGCATGCCTAGTATTGTATCACCTCGTGTCGCCGTCCAGGTCGCTCAACTTGCTGTTCTCCGGTTGGATCTTCGTAGTGTCGATCTTCGGATGGTGGGTAAGGACGTTCTCCCACCATTGCTGTTTGTTCAACTTCTCGAGATGGATATGCACTTCTTCCTGATCCTCTGTATACATGTTAGCGAGATATATGACCAGTATTGCGGCTGAACTAACGGAGGGTCCAAGTACTATCCTCGATCTTAATCTCCTTGCACAACTCTCCATCCATAATCGGTTCTTGGCCTTTGAGGCCGACCGTGAGTTTCTTCTTTCCGATATAAACATTGAGGCTTTTGCCGCGTGTCCCTTTTGGTACGGGAATCACTATGTCCAGTTCACCAAGCTCCTGCTTCCAGGTATATGGCAGTTCTGAGCCGGTATAGGTTAGCTGCAAAGGATGTGAGATGTCGGCTCACGGGCCTGCTCTTGAGCTTCGCGTTCGCGATCCTCTTTATCTTTCGCTTCCCTCTCTTCGGGGGTGAGTTTATCGTATTCTTCAGGAGTCATGGTTAGGGTGAAGGTGTATGCTATCAGATAGGCAGGCGCGTTCGCGTTACCTCAGGCGCCGGTCACGGGGGTCTGCGTCACGAGGAAAAGTCACCGGTCACCCGCGCCGCCTTTGCCTCCCGCTGCTGCTTGCTGCTCGCTTGCCCAATCTGCCGTCGATTCTCGGCTCAGATAGACATAATCGAGGTCGTCGGACTCGTAATCTATGGCGAACCATGATCCGTGGTGGGACTTCGAGGTGCCTGCAATTGCTTGTAGGCCACAAATGCATTCCTCTGACACCGACGCTGTTCCCAGACTTTGAGGCACAACATCAAGCAAAACACGGTGGACAGGTTAAAACACATCATCAGCGGCCTCAACGACGAATGTTCTACCAATATCTCCAAGACCGGCAAGAAGCAGGAACTCATCGATAGAATCAACGGCGCTCTCGACGGTTGGCGGCAAGCGTCGCATACCGAGAAATGGACGAAGGCGAAATCGGTCCTGTATCAGGTTCGAAATTCCGGAACGTAAGTGCTATTTCTTCATTTCTCCTCGCGCCATCAGCGGAATCCCATTCGGCTATATACAACCAACCCGTCGTATAGGTACACGGCCAACAAGATGTCATCGGAAGGCACGCCGACATATAGTTCGACATACCCCGTTGCCGGCTCCAGCAAGCTGCATTCGACTACTCCTACTGCTGTATCTTCCATCGGGCGATATGATACCGCGACTCCACGGAAACCGGTTGCCTCCCTGCCAACTACCGTGTCAAGACCCCGTGTGTCCAGTTTGTCGCCTTCAGTAGGCTATAATACTCATCCAGTATCCGCTAGAAATACGTTTTCAAACTTCCCCTTTCCTTCGAGCGGAACAAGTAGTTTCCACCGTCGTGGAGTGTCCTGGTATGCGACCTAGGCGTCTGCATTACCTCTCGTGGTACTGCCATACTGATGTGCCTTCAGAATCCAGCAGCGCCATGGACAGGAGGCAACAATCTCTCGTCTTCAGCTTGACTCAAGATCAGATCGCGAAGTTGAACTCCACCAGGTGGGCATTCAACGCATTGCGAAACTGGGCGGCATTAACCCCCATCCCCAGCCCCAAATATCAACTTCGCTTGTATTGCACCTCCAATACGTATTATACTCCAGGACAGTGGTCGGGTTCTCTTTGTCCAATCGAATTCCCGCCCACGTGTGAGGTCCGAGTCAACAACGTGCAACTGTCAGCCAATCTTAAGGGTCTCAAGAAGAGGCCGGGTACAGCCCCACCAGCTGACCTGGGAAAGTCCATAAGACAAGTGGGTCAGAATCGCGTCGAAATGGTGTATGTCAACAGCCAGCAAGGAACGCCGGCAAAGGTGAACCATTCCATATCCTACACGGAGTATACGCTAAATCCACCGCCCAGAAATATTATATGGTTGTGCAGCTGGCAGAAGTAACCACCGTTGAGCAGCTCGTTGATCGTGTCAAAAAGGGTAAATACAAGTCCAAGGATGAGATCCTTGCTACCAGTGAGTGTCGTAACACCTACGTTTGTTAGCGTATATGCACTCACACCGTCGCAGTGAAAGCTGCTGCAGCACAGGAAGATGACGATATCGTCGCCGGTCCTCAAAAGATGTCTCTGAAGGATGCTGTGCATATCTCTCCTCTCCAGAATCTGAGAAAACCACGCCTGACTTACTGCTCGATGTAGTTGACATTCGTACGCGTCGGTGATCCGTGCCGAGCCGCGTCCTGCCCGCATCCTCAGTGCTTCGATGCAACGACCTGGTTTACCGTCATGGAGCAGACGACAACTTGGTTATGCCCTGTATGTGAGCGTGTCCTTGATCCGAAGGATCTCATCATAGACGGGTACGTATTTTTACGCGTTGATGCCTATTACCTATTAATGTGACTGCGCAGATACTTTGAAGACATATTGAAGCAGACTCCGGAGAGTCTGGAGGACGTCATGGTCGAAGCAGATGGTGAATGGCATAGTCAAGACAACCGATATGCGTCACCTGGATGGAAGGCCTCACATCCATATATTCCCCCTCCACCCACACCATCCACACAACGACGGCCATCTCCTAAGCTCTCACCTCGGGTTGATGCGGAGAAAAAGAAGAAACCCAACGGTGATGCGATTCTCGTACTCGATGATTCCGATGAAGAGGACGAAGGCCGTGTCAAGAGGGAACTATCACCTACCAATCCGCTCAGTGCGGAGAACTCGCTGGATGGCACCCTTCCTCCGCAGTCTCAACTCTCGCGCGCCGCTAGTACAGTGATCGAGAGCGATGTCATCGATCTGACCGTTGACGATGAAGACGAGCCGGTTGTCCGATCCGTCGCAGGTCGCAAGCCGGAGAAACGGAAGGCTCCAGACACGGGTACCCATTCGGAGCATGTATGGAAGAAATCTCGAACAGACTCTATCAGGCCGAACGGTCACGCCAACGGCACCCAACCTGCGACTCCGAGTATTCCGGTGTACAGCTCCGCACCATATACATATCCACCTCAATCAGCACGACCGTCAGCGAGTCGGACGCCGTCTGGTTCCGGACCGAACGTGTATGCGTCAAACGTAACTTCCCAGTTCTACTCCACGACAACGGGATACCCTGCAAACCGAGATGGTTATCACAGTCAGAATCGGACGAATGGGTCTTCGAGATGGTGATTTTTCCCTAGTGTACTATGTATGTAGTGTCCGTAGAGGTTTTCGTGTTTACGGTAGAGCGTCATAATCATTGCGCGGGCTTCTTGAACGCCCGACTCCCGAGGCTCGGGCCGACGGGAGGATGTGATTGGACGAGGCGTGTGAAGTGTGGGCGTGTGCTCGGCCAATACCGGAGCCCCAGCGAGTTCATAAGGGAAATTTGTGCCATCACGCATCCTCTCATCCTGTCCACCACAACCCCCACTCCCTCCCTTCTTTCCTCTCCCTCCAAAAATGGCGGACGTGAAGAAATCCAAGACTCCTAAGGAGTTCCTGAGTGCGTTGCGTCGCACTTGCGGTCTTCGTGCGCATTGACACTTGCTGACCTGGCACTTTTTGCACAGCTGATTTCATGATGGGTGGTGTGTCTGCGGTTCGTATACGTGTCATTTTGTCTTGCGACGATATCCGAATCATTCCCGTTTTTCAGGCTGTTGCCAAGACCTCCGCTGCGCCCATTGAGCGTATCAAGCTCCTTGTCCAGAACCAGGATGAGATGGTGAGTTATACGCGACACGTTTTGGTTGCATACCGAGTCCGTTTCCCCAGATCAAGCAAGGTCGTCTCGCGGAGCCCTACAAGGGCATCTCCGACTGCTTCGTCCGCACCTACAAGGACGAGGGCCTGATCTCCCTCTGGAGAGGAAACACTGCCAACGTCATCCGGTACTTCCCCACCCAGGCCTTGAACTTTGCCTTCAGTGCGTGATGACGTGTCGCGTGGTCTTGTGACGATATTCATGTTGTCGTGCAGAGGACTACTTCAAGTCCCTCTTCGGCTTCAAGAAGTCGGAAGGCTACTGGAGGTGGTTTGCTGGCAACGTTGCCTCTGGTGGTGCCGCTGGTGCATCATCGCTGCTCTTCGTGTACTCGCTCGACTATGCCCGTACTCGTCTCGCAAATGACGCCAAGTCGGCGAAGGGTGGAGGAGCTCGCCAGTTCAACGGCCTCGTCGATGTCTACAAGAAGACCCTTGCTTCCGACGGTATCGCTGGTTTGTACCGTGGCTTCGTGCCCTCCGTCGTCGGTATCATCGTCTACCGTGGCCTCTACTTCGGTGTCTACGACTCGCTCAGTACGTTTCCACGCTCGCCAACGTTGGCACCGCATTCTGATTGATCATACAGAGCCCGTGGTTCTCGTCGGTGCTCTTGAGGGCTCGTTCTTGGTCTCCTTCTTGCTCGGCTGGGGTGTCACGATCGGCGCTGGTCTCGCTTCGTACCCTCTTGACACTATCCGGTGCGTGTCCTGACTCACAGCGATGTTTTATTTTGCTCAATATGCTTGTGTAGTCGTCGTATGATGATGACCTCTGGTGGCACTCAGCACTACAAGAGCATGTTCGATGCTGGCTCTCAGATCATCGCCAAAGAGGGTTCGAAGTCGCTTTTCAAGGGTGCAGGTGCCAACATTCTTCGTGGCGTTGCTGGCGCCGGTGTGCTTTCGCTCTACGACAAGCTCCAGCAGGTGATGTTCGGCAAGGTCTACTCCGGTGGATCTGGCTAAATGCACTTGGAGTTCGTGAGCTAGTGGTACTGGTCCCAGGATGTAGTTTCTTATCCTTTATAATTGGCGTTTTACGAACAATAGACCTGCTGGTTATCCTTAACATGCGGCGTGCTGTTGCGTAGGATTATCGTCGATGACTATTGGTATATATCGCGGTATAGAGCACAATTCTGAACTGAGGAGCCAAGGATCTCCATGAACTTGACAGACGGGCGCGCCGGGACTTCGCGGATGAATGATGGTGCACGTTGAGTGGTGTTCATTGTGGTGGGAATTTCGCATCTTGCGTTCAGCCTCACCGAGTGTCAAGCACTACCAGCCATTGCCCAGTTACATATCCGATGCAATGCCTCGGCGTTGTCTTGCACGGTAGATTTGCAGCGCCTTTCCTAGCCCGATCAGCAAGTTCTGCAGCACCCATCACACTCCGCCCGTACCAGGAATCATGTCTACAAGCATGCATGGAGGCTCTCGCAGGAGGTGCTACCCGGATCGGTGTCTCGCTCCCTACGGGAAGCGGTAAGACCACTGTGTTCATGTCTTTACTCTCCCGGATTGCCCCGCCCAGAGACAATCCGTGCGCCACCCGATCTTTGGTCATAGTGAACAGCATAGAACTTGCCAGACAGTCTGCTGCCGCGGCCGAAGCTCTGCATCCGGAATGGAGGGTGGAGATAGAACAGGGGGCTAAATATCAAGCATCCGGCCTTGCAGACGTGTGAGAATGTACCGTCCCACTTCTTTAACTTGCTTCTGACGCGCCTTACTTGCATACTAGTACAGTGGCAACGTATCAGACATTGCTGCAAACCCAGCGACTAGCGAAGTTCGTGCCATCATCACTCAAGGGTGTGGTGGTAGATGAAGCCCATCATGCTGCTGCCCCCTCGTAAGTCCAGAGCGCTCACTGGGTTGTGGCGAGTGTCTTGACTTGTCCAAGATATCGGCGCATACTTTCCCATTTCGATGCCAACATTCGTAACCCGGATGCTTCCTTCGTACCCCCGGACATACCACATCAAATTCCTATCGTCGGGTTCTCCGCTACATTCAGCCGCCATGATGGTCTGGCGTTGGGATCAGTCTTCGAACGCATCGTTTACCATCGAGACTGGCTGGAAATGATCAAGGATCAATGGTTAGTAAAGCACAATCTTACCGTGTTTTCGTGTGGCTCAGCCTTTTCCAGGCTCAGTGATGTACGGTTCACCTCTGTGCATGCCAACATCGACTTGAGCAATGTAACCATCAGCGCTCGTACCGGTGACTTCAACGCCACTAGCTTAGCGCATATCATCAACACCCCTACTGTGAACAAATTGATTGTTCAAGCGTGGTTGGATAAGGCCGGTGAGTGATTTGATTCATACGCACACGACATGAGGGCTAATTAACGCTGCGCAGCGGATAGGAAGTCCACGTTGGTGTTCTGCGTCAATATACACCACGTCAGAGAGCTGACGCGGGCGTTCCGCGACGCTGGGGTTGACGCTCGCTATATACACTCCGGCACTCCCGCCGCCGAACGGGCTGCGCTTCTTGCGTCGTTTCGAGCCGAACAGTTTCCCGTTCTGCTGAACTGCGGTACGGCGTTCAACATGTGCACTGGATGCACTCTGATCTATCGCTCGTAGCCATACTCACGGAAGGAGCTGACATTCCCAATATCGATTGCGTAATGGTTGCACGCCCTACGCGCTCGAGAAATGTGTTTGCTCAGATGGTAGTATGACAAAACCGTGAAATTAGCTGCACCTGACGAAATACATCAGGTCGGACGTGGAATGCGCCTTTCTCCGAATACAGGGAAGAAAAACTGTCGAATCATCGACTTTGTCGATAGCACTTCCCGAGTCACAGGAATTGTTTCCACGCCGACACTCTTCGGACTGGATCCTACAGAAACCATTGATGGTCAGTTGTCAACCATCGTCGCCGATTACCTTAACAAACAATCCAGCGCAAGGATATAGATGCATCCACGGACTCTCTGGAGGAAAGAGCTGCGAAAGCAGAGAATAATACAGGAATGGAACTGTCCCGGCATGACACTTCTTCAGATGTGCCCAATCCGAAGACAGTCACCTATATCGACCATGAAAATCCATTCTCACTCGCGCACAGTGCATCTGGCGCCCCCCATATCACCCAGATGAGTAGGAACGCGTGGGTTGGCTGTGGTGGTGAAGTCTACGTACTGGAGTGTCTTGGAAAGGGCTATATTCGGATAGAACCGGTGGAACCGAAGACAGGTCAGTCGTGCGTTGTCAAGGGTACCCGAACGAAATTCGAAGGATTTTCAGATATGGATGAAGTTGCTTTTCAGGCGCATTTCACACCGGCCATGATGGATAAAGGGACGGCCCAAGCACTACGATTGTCGCCTTTCGCAAGGAGCCGAAAAATCCTCAGCGCGTCTAGTCTCAGCGATGCAATCAAAGGATGCGACACATATGCCGCGACTAAGGTCTTGTTTGGTCCGATGTCTCTGGGGTAATTCAGACCTCTCTCTAAATCATCACGATGGCACTAATCATGTTTCAGGCTTCTCCGTTCTGCGAGGTGGAGGACACATCCTGCCACCGAAAGTCAGAAGGCGTTTGTCGCAAAGCGCTGGCGTGTTCGGCCCCAGACTGTACTTGATGAAGGCGGGAAGAGCGACGGGGGTGCAAGCCTGACATCAGGAGAACGAATTGTTACGCTCACCAAAGGAGAAGCAGCTAATATCATCACTCGCCTGAAGCATGGCGCACAGGTGATTCATATTTGCTCGCTCATGCTCTCGCAGTTGACATGTGCCTGATGACAGTCCCGGTGGGAAAAGAAGATGAAGGCTGCTCAGAAGATTGAGAGTGCAGCATCAGAAGCCTTGCTCAAAGAGAAGATCAGACGAAGTCGAGAGAACGTCAGGGTTGGACCTCTGAGGGCTATTGACTCGTGACAGTGGTCCCTCTCCAATGACGCGTTCCAGGCGTGCGGGATCCAGTTTCGCCTGCGCCCTTTGCGCAATTGTTCCTCTTGGGTGATACGTTATATCAATAGCTTATCATCGAGGTCGCATTGGCGCCTTGATCGCCAGCGGAGACTTGAGCCGGGTGGCTTGCCAAATATTGGAGAATGTGCACGTATTTGACAAAGGGAGTGCGTTCTTACTGCGCACATCGTATGACGACCAGAAACCATTGTCACTGGAAAGAATGGCGGGTGCCCCGCCAGTCCACCTTCGCTTGCATGTAAATTGACCCATTTGCGATGCTCGCTTACAGACTTGAATTTGTCATTCACGTGACTTTCTCGCCCTCTCATTCGCTGTTCGGCTCTTCTCAACGGACCTCCGCGGTTTAATATGCCAGTTTCCACCCCACGCTTGCAGTGCCGTACGGGAGCATAAAATTACAGCATATTCTACAGGTCGGGGTTTGAAGCGTTTATTCTGTGTTTCTGTCGCTCCAGATCTTACGGATAGTCATCCAGTATATTATCAGTGATTCACGATAAGTGCATAACTGTTGCGCACGCCAGTCGTATTGTTGATTAGAGACCTTCTGGTTTTCAATATATATCGAAATATCGTATTTTGTGGCCATAAACCGCGCCAAATCGGGCGATTTGGATACGATATACAGTATATCGATTTCAGAAGCTCTCTATTGATTAGAGAGCTTCCAGTTTCGATATATATCGAGATTTTGATATTCTATGGCCAAAAATGCGGGCCAAATCGCACGTTTTGAAAATAAATTCTCGATATATATCGATTTTGGAAGCTCTCTATTAGGTGGCTTGTTATGTGAGAATCTGTTCAATGTCACGTGGCAGAATAAAGGCAGTGAATCCGCACTGCATACACTGCTTACTAATTACGGTGTTGAGAGATACCTGAGCTTGCTCAGGTAACTGTGAATTAGTAGTAATCAACTCACAGTTAAAATATCATGGCGATATCCAGGTGTCCGATTGGCTCAGGCCTCCACAAGGAAGAAAGACACCTGAAAGTATGAGGGCTACGTATGCGCAAGTTCAACTTCACTAGGAAGGCAGATTGAAAGTAATCCCCGAATCACACGCCGTGTGGCACGGGCCTTGCTCACCTTCCGTCAACGCTCCTCACTCGGGATTGTTGGTGTTCATCCATCTTTCCCTGTAGGAGCTATGACCGGGGGTCCAAGGCTCTTCTGGACTGCACTGTCCAGCACTGCGAAGTATGTCCATCATCTTCCACCAACTGCGTTCACTACTGGGTCTAAACTCTCACTAGGACATCAACGGTCCTCCAGATCTTACTATTCCTTCCGCTTACTCTCAGCACACTCGGGACAGCGGGCTTCCTCTCTCTTTCCCTTCTTCTCTTCCTTCACGCCCTCATTCATGGGACTTTGCTTCTCGTTTGGGACTATAATCCTGCGCTCAGCGTTATGCAGGTCCCGATGCACTCCTTCCTCCTCTTGGTATGCTTCAACACGTTTACGGAAACGGGGATGGGAAAGGACTGGATGATAGTTGCGTCTGGGTGGTGGGGCAAGTTCTTGAGTTTTAGCAGTCCTGGTTTCATCATATTGGAGGGGCTGTCCAGTTTGCTGGTCGTGCAGAGTGTGTTGGATTACTTCATGTCCTAATCGTTCGAACACTCACGTTCTTCCTGACAGAACTGGGTCAAGAGGGAAAGCAGCTTGTGAGCGAGGGCGAAGACCGCGTTCAGTTCGGTCTACTCATTGGTGCGGCGGTTGCCTATGTTGCTTCTGCGTGGTGGATTGTTATGGTGCGATCCGACACCGGCAATGCAAGTCCTGATTTCTCATAACCTTTGCGTTGCAGGCGTACCCAACAGCAGCAACATCACCCCTCTCTTCAACACTGCTAGGTGTGGCGCTCACAGCCTTCCTATTCCTAACTTTCATTGGCTTCGGCCTGCGACGCACGAACATTATCGAGTCGGCGGGCCTTTCCCTTTTCCTGGCGTACAATGTCTGGTTATGTGGCTTCGATCAGAAGGCCTTCACAGATCCTGCTTCGTCCTAGTTAGCTCTTCCTTTTATCTACCGTTGACGTGGCACTCATACAGACATCGTCCGCAGCGCGCCGTTACTTGGGAACATCATTCCTCACTTGCAAACGCTTACCAATTTTGTGTCGAACACACTTCCGAAACCTGTGCTTATCGCATTGGTCTATAGATTGACCGTATTCCACTTTGCTTCGCACATCCTGCCTGCCATTGGTGCGGATAGCTGGGACTACGAGGGAGCGATGGACGATGCAGATACACGGCCTGTTCGTTAGTTTCAAGCTGTCACGGAACGAAGTTGATGTCATTTGTCTAGACTGCCAAGGTTGCCCGGTTCATGCTGACCTACCGTCAAGCCATATTTGTGACGGTTTACTCAAATCTACTGTGTATGACACCGTTTGATTGCTCGTATTGTCGGCGAATTGACGGAGAAATTTTTGCAGTACTTGACCATTCGTCGCAAATCTGGTGGCGATGGATCAATATATTTTTTACTCTCGTCATCTGGTCGATTGAACTTCTTGTGAGCACGGACGATGATATCGTCACCAAGGAATGGAAAGTCCAATAGGAGATGGCACGTTGTACATTCGTTATGAAAGGTGTGATTTCCAACCACTCGCTGCATTGGTAACGTGTTGACGGAGACGGTCAGAAACCGATCCGTCATGGCATCCTGTTTTCGTTGCATCTATCCCCTGATACCCTTAGCCAGGACATACCCCTCGCTCCTATTGTCCTCGTACGCATCAACACACGCACCAACACAGCATTATGCGTTTGCTTTCCACTCAGCCGTTTCATCCCCTTCGCCTTCGTAAAACTCCCGCTTCCATATCTGCGCTTTCTTCTTAACTTCCTCGAGGATATATTCGCATGCTAGGAACGCCTCGCGTCGATGCGGAGACGACACAGCGATCACAATCGATAGTTCGCCAACCGGGACAGGGCCCAGGCGGTGATATAGGGCAGTTCTGATTAACCGAGAAGATTGAGCGGATGCCAGAGCCGAAGCTGAGCCCTGGATAGAGGAGGGCTGATGTTGATGTGAGGAGAGCTGCGGTAAGCTTTGATGCGCCACAGTGAGGATGGCTTGCATCGTCTTGAGGGCGAGTTTGCTAATCCGTATATGGTTTGTATCGTGACGGAACAGGGATAGGCTGGGCCACTACCTGTATGCCTGGTATTCCAGTCTCGTCACAACTTTTCCTGCGGTCCGTACCGATTATACATCGCGTAGCGTGTCACGCGGAGGGAGCGCACCCTTGAACGAGTTCCTGGTTGTGCCAAGGAACACGGCGGTTGCGCCCGCGCCGTCGTCCCCCACGGATGCGATGATCTCGTCTACCTGTAGGGGCGCATAGCTAAGAGCACATGTACCATATGGTGATTCCAGGGTTCCGTCAACGGACTCCGATGGGTATGCATTGGAGGGAGTGGAAGTGCTCATGCTGCACTGACTGATTAGATAACTGCCATGCGCGATGATCATAGCCGGAAAGCGCCGGTGGCCCGGAGTGCCGATTCAAAGGCGCGCGGTTTGTTCTGACTTCCTCGGTAGACGTCTCCTCCGCACCCATCCCAAATCCAACTTGGTTCGCGCAAGCTGCGAGCGACTGGCTCTTACGGATGTTGCAGTTTGCAACAAGACGCGTTCCAGCGAGCGTGCTTCGTCTGCGCGGAGCATTCGCCTCGTCGATTGCTGGGCCCGGATTGCCCTCCTTCGTCGACGTGCATCCCGAAGTACAGGATGCTCTAGCGCACAACCGTCCTCTCGTTGCACTAGAGACCACCATTGTCACACACGGTATGCCTCAGCCGACCAACCTCGAGACCGCACGCTCTGTCGAGCGTATTGTAAGGTGCACCTGGCGTTGGCTTGTCGACGCGAGTAGACACTGGCACTGATAATATCCTCAAAGATCCACTGGGAGTGTTCCTGCAACAATCGGGGTGATTTCGGGGCGCGTTAAGATTGGGCTTGAACCAGCTGAGCTCGAATATCTGGCTGACGTGAAGCAGAATTCGGGGGTGGTCAAGCTTTCGCGGAGGGATATTGGGCCTGCTATCGCAATGAAGCGGGATGGTGGCACCACCTGCAGCACGACCCTCATATTTGCAGCGCTCGCAGGCATCAAGGTATGAACTGTATCTTGATTTCATTCATCTCTCCATCACGGACAGGGAGGATAGGTTTTCTCAACCGGAGGGTATGCTTACTTGTCTATGTCGTATAATCACAGCTGATAGAACTGCAATGGCAGGCTAGGCGGTGTCCACAGAGGCGGGGAAAATTGTAGGTTTTGTCAATCAGAACTAATTCAGTACCGGCGCTCATCATTAGGATTAGCTATGGACGTTAGCGCTGACCTTCACGAACTCACCCGATGCCCGGTCGGCCTTGTATCCGCCGGTGTCAAATCCATCCTCGACATTGGCAGGTGAGATAATGGAACCCAGGCGTCGGACCGGTGCTGAATTACCGTCAAGAACTCTGGAATACCTAGAAACTCTCGGTGTTCCGGTTTTGACATACGGAGAAAACAACGAGTTTCCGGCATTTTACAGCCCCCAGAGCGGTTTTAAGGTACGCTGTCTTGCAAATACACGATCTGCACGCTGATATTGAACCGCATGTACACAGAGCGCATGGTCCGTAAATGATCCCTACACCGCGGCTAGGATCTTGCGTACGTGCAGAGCTTATTCGTCTAGTATCGTCAGCTCAACGATAACACTAGATTCGCAAGCTGCTTTGAACATGACCACCGGAGCACTCTTCGCGGCACCCATTCCATCAGCCTACCACGGCGTCGGAGCAGAGCTTCAGGCCGCCGTGGAACAAGCCGTCAGGGAATCGGAAGAGAACGGCATGAGCAAGCGAGGGAAGGAGGTCACGCCATGGCTTCTGGCGCGCGTCGGCGATCTGACTAGGGGCAAGTCTCTGGCGAGCAGTGCGTTGAGCTCCCTGAGATTACCATACATCGCACGCTAAACTCCATGGCACAGACGTGGCTCTCATCGAAAACACGGCAAAAATAGGTGGTCAGATAGCCGCAGCATACTCGCAATTGGTTGGCGGAACCGAGACAAGCTTTACAGTAAGGTTGGCGTAGATTCCTTTCGCGTTTGTAATGACCTTGTACTTGTCTGTAGCCCTATGAAACGGTAATAACCGAGGTCAATGTACCGCAGACACTCCCAAGGAACGTTCCCGCTTCCGCAGTCAGTTTTTCTGTCCTATGATCAAGTGGGGTTTATGGCCGAAATGCAGATCAGGGTTCCGCCAAGTTGGCTGTCGTAGGTTCCGCAGCTGTTGATATTACGGCAAGACCTCGCTCAGACTCCGAGGTCGCCCTCGGAACACATAGCACCGCCCCCGGCATGGTCAATATATCTTTAGGCAAGTTCGCATTATTTATATACTCATCGCAAGACACTGATTCTGTTATTAGGTGGTGTCGCCCGCAACATGGCCGAGGCCGCACACCGTGTTATCACCTCACGAGCTCCCCAAGAAACGTCTGCCACAGCACTAATATGCGGCATTGGCCATGACTCTTTCGGACGTCTGATAAAAGACGAGACGCAGCTTCTTGGAATGCGGACAGATGCGTTTGTCCAAAGCGACCAAAGTCGCAGTGCAGTGTGCAATATGCTCTTAGACGTTCATGGAGGGCTGATGTCTGGCATCGCGGATATGGATATCACAGAGCAGTTGACGGGCGAGCAGGTTTTGCAGGAGCTGCAGCGATTGAGACCTTGCGTAGTTGCGCTGGATGCGAATTTGGCCCCGTCAACCTTGGATGCGGTCATCCGATACTGTCAGAGGGAGGGCATTACTTGTACGTGAACCTGCACTCGAGGCGAGTCTTTGGTACTGATGAGGGTCTCAAGCGTTCTTGTAGGTTCCACTGGTCTATTCCGCACGTAAATGATCTGACATGCACTCAAAGCGAGCCCACCTCCGTGCCGAAGTCCACGAGGATATTGCCGGGAATTGCGACCAGCCTTTCCAGATGTGCTGCGTCAGGTCCTTCCCCGGTGTCCTTTGCCTCGCCCAATCTCCTGGAGCTAGTTCACCTTTACGCCGCCGCCAGAGCGGATTCGCCAGAGCTGACTAGTCATAATTACTGGTGGGATGCAGTCCACAGCTTCAAGATCGGCGGAGAGTTTCGAATGGACCTTGAGCACCTTGCTAGGCGGAACGTCACCGAGGAAGACTCTTCCAAGGGCACCCTCTCCTTCCTCGTTGAGAAGGGCATCGGGCAGATGGCCATCAATATGTTGCCATTCTTCGGCGGACTCGTCATTAAGTGCGGCGACAAAGGCATTATTGTTGCGATGCGTATCCGAGGGAGAACGGCCTGGAGCTCCGAGCGAACGAATCTAGCGGGGAGATACGTGGTTGCGCATGGGGATGACTCCGTTGTGGTGCTCAAGCATTGCCCGGGCATCGTTGTTCCGCCAGAGAGCATCGTCAATGTCACAGGCTGCGGTGATTCCTTGGTGGGATCGCTCCTAGCGGACCTCGCAATGAATCCTGCGGTCCTCAACGACCCGGACGGTTTGGAAGGGACTATTTCTAGGGCTCAACGAGCTGCAGTATTGACACTGCAGAGCGTCTATGCTGTATCTCCGAAGTTATGAATACGAATATCTTACGATCTTTAGCAGAGTTCACAAAGAAGGAATATGACTGCCGCTGACTAAGCGGCAGGCGAAACTATGGCAGCTCGGAGGTGTCATCGGATGGCACATGGCTGGCGCGAGCTTGCGCGACACAGACATGCCAAATATCCGTTCCACCCCGGAGATGACTCGTTTTTGCCTCCGCTTCTCCTCCTCTCCTCGATGTGCCGCTTTGTGATCTACAAGGGAACCCCAGTGCAACTCTGCCATGTTCGTAGAACTCTTTCGAGCCCATGCCATAACCCGTACACTCAACATTGGCGTCCATATAGTTGCTGACTCGACCATGTCATTCAATCATTAACCAAGCCTTTGACTCACGGCTCAGACTTGACCGGCGGAGACCTATCAACGGAGACGGATTTGGTGTCGGTAAGTCTCATGCATCAAAGAAAAGACCACGCGGATTGAAGTGTGCCATGCAGGCTGGTACGATTCGGTCCAGGACGCTGAATTGGGTAGCCAGCCCTGCATCTTCACGTCCGTGACTCCGGTGAGTCTCCATGAAGAACTCTCCCCTCTATTCGTGGGTCGCTCATGCAACACCCAGGCATGGAACAACGTTAATCTTACTCGACTTGCTGAGAAGATTAAGTCACCATTGATCTTGTGAGTGTTCACGTCCGTCCTATCTCTGGGGCGTCTCTCATGTTTCATAGCGCCCATGTACGTGCAACAACCGCAGGTTCTCTCTCCCTCGATAATTGTCATCCATGGGCATACGGCAAGCTGATGGTGGGTGCACCGTCAGTTGCCCGTCGACTTATCATCATCTCACCAGTAGCCTGTTTTCGCAGTGGATGCATAATGGTGGAATTGCCGAGTTCCATAAAATCAAACGACGCCTGCAGGCGAGTCTGTCCGATGAAATCTTCAACCATGTCCAAGGGAACACAGGTGCGGTTCGCAAATACTTCGCTTGTTGGTTTGACTCACGGAGTATGAAGATTCGGAGTGGGCCTTTGCGCTCTTCCTCTCGAAACTACCTGACCCGAACGCGAAATGCTTCACGACGAATTGCCTCAAGCAGGCCATGCTTGAGACGATCACCACTCTCAATGCATTCGCGGATGATGAGAACATCGCGGAGGTATGTGATTGGCCATCTCTGCAGCGAAACCAATGACGAATACGTGCCTATAGCCGAGCTTGATGAACTTCTGCGTGACAGACGGCGAGAGCGTCATCGCAACCCGTTACATTTCCTCTCGCCACCAGGAGGCTGCTTCACTATGGTTCTCTTCCGGCACAACGTTCAGCGAATACGCACCCGGAGGCCATTATCGAATGTCCAAGGCAGACAAACGCGAGAACATCATAATGGTCGCCAGTGAACCCCTTACCTTCGAGAAAGCGGACTGGATGGAAATCAAAACAAACCACATGATCGCCATCACGCCTCGGATGAACCTCCTGCAGATCCCCATCGTCGATAAATTCTTCGTCTCACCTTCGCAAGGCCGTGAAACCGGGTTCGCTGCGGAAAAGGGCTTCTTGAGCCCCCGCCCCGGTCCCTTGCGCGGCTCAGCCATCGAAGCAACAGAGAACGGTATACCAATCAATGTGCCGGAGAATGCGGTCCTAACGGAGAACTTGCGGTCACCCGTGCTCGCACATTGACAGCACGTTGTTGACGCTGCATTTTCTGTCATCATGAATTGTTATCTTGTTCGCTTTGTCTTGTTTGTTCCATAGAGTTGTACAACAGGAAAGGAGTAATATGATGAACGTTAATGAAAATTGTTTATCTGAGGAGTCAACCATTAAAGCCTGCGTCGTTTTCCTTCGCTGGAGTTCAAGGTGCTACTTTTTCGCTTGACGCTCTCTACTAACTTTTGTAGGTTAGTATCACCATCAGCGCCTACTTCCCTTGACGATAGTTTCTCAATCGGCTCTTGCGTCTTGCGGCGCTTTGCGCGCTCCTGTAGCAGTGCAGACATGTTCTTGGTCTTCTTGAAGCTGCGGGATTGCGCGTAGACCACGTCAGTAAGAGTCTGCAAAGGTAAATACATGTGCTCAACTGGGGATTGCTTGGGTCGATGGCAAATGTGTGATCCTCATGCAGAGCCTTGAATCGCTCGTCCTTGACGTCGATAACGAAGTGCTCCTGCATCTCGTCAGGTCCATCATCCTCGAACTTGTCTTTTTTGCCCTTCTTCTTCTTTCCTTTTCCCTTCTCTGCCTTCAGTACCGCCTTCATGTCGAAGTGTTTGGTGCCGCCTTCGAGGTTGTCACCGCCTGTCAGCAGGGCGAGTTCCTCGGCTGTTGACTCTACACGCGCTCCCATGCGTTCTGTCAACCTCATCCTGTTCTTGCCCTTGTCACGCGTGTGCTCGGTTTTCTCATCTTCAGCCTCCTCGTCCTCACTAGCGGCACCGAAGAAGTCGTCCTCCGCGACCACTCCGCCTTTCTTCTTTTTCTCTTCCCCGGGGTTTTTATCCTTCGTCTTAGCTTCCGCCTTCCGTTTCTGCTTCTTTTCCTTCATTTTTCGCTGGTATTTCTCCAAGGTCGTCTCCTCATCGTCTCCCTTCGGCTTGGTACTGAAACCGGGTGCAAACGTGATCTCCATGTCGACATCATCTTCCTTCTTGTCGTTAGCAGTGCTTGCCCAGCCTTCTGGCATTGCATCGCCATTCCCTTCGAGCAGCAGCGCACGCAGCCTGGCACGGTCCGAGGCCTTCTTATCTTTCTTATGGACGTCGCGAGCATCGGCTTCACTATCCGACTCGGACTCGGAAGAGGCGATGAGCGCCTTGAAATCTGCCTCCTCTATCTCCTGTTTCGACAGGGCGCGTCTCGTAATGCGCACTCGCTCTGGATCGTCTTCGTCCCAGGTGAGCTTGACTTTGGAATGCCGTAGGGCCTGGAAAGGCTGATTAGTCACGTAACAATCTCGGTTACAATTTGACGAACGTCTGTAACGAAGTCGAGCCCTTTGTACTGGTTTGAAGCTGTGTCATCAGTAGCTTCATCTCTGGGGGAATAGCATGAGCGCTGAGCACCTGATGGCCATGAAAAAGGTGTACCGGCACTCATCGTCGAACGTCATGTCATCCGGTACATAGCTGAGGTCAAAGACGTTCGCCGATCGTTCAAACTCGGTGCCTTCTAACTCAGAGTACACATAAGCTGCTGCTGGGACGCTATCGAACTCAGCGATAGCGTAATAGTACCTATGTTTCCGGGATTCAACGCTATTGCAATGCTCACGAAGCCATCACGTACCTCATGCGTTCGAGCTGGTACTTGCGCAGAGCATCCTCGTCGTAATCGTCTCCTTGCCCAACCTCAATTATATCCGAGGCGTCGCCGTCAGCGCTATCATCATCGTCCTTTTTCTTGAAAACCTCTGGAGGTGGACCCTCCCTTTCCTCTCTCGCTATCCTCTCTTTTCCGAACTGACTGGGATAAACCCGAACACTGAGAAGCCTGCCGCGCAACGAAGGCTGAGATCTTTGTGCAGCACGCTTTGAACCCTCCGAAGCGGGTGGTGAGAGAACGGAAGAGATGATCTTCCACAGGTGGAAGGCGCGAATGTGATCCCAGTCAAGATTGACAATGGCAACACGCCGTGTAGGGTCTATGGTAGGCCGTCCATCTTCGTCGTCTTGAGCGCGGCGCGCAGCAGCGGCCTGGGCGTCCAGGTCTGCGAAATTATCCTCATCCAGGTCAATCTCCGGCTCCTCGTCTTCGTCGAGCACTCGTATGGGTTTCGTTTTGTCTTGGTCGAGAGTTACGACGCCGTCGCCCTCGTCATCGCTCTCCTCATCTTCCAAGCCGCTCTTCCCACCATCGTCTGACGACTCCAACAGGACTTCACCTCGCGCGTAGTCCACCAGCTTCGGCGTCTCCTCCTCCTCCTCCTCCTCTTCGTTCTCGAGGCGATAGAAGCGACGAAGATTTTCACTATCGTGATCCCCTAAAAGCTTGCGTCCATACTTGTCTACACGACCTGATCGTCGCCGTCATCAACACCAGGCGTCACGACTGAGAATCATTGCGACGCACCCTTGGACTTCCCCTTGTCTGCCTTGCCGAAGACGCTCTTGAAACGTTCATCGACTACAACTTTCTGGTCCTTCTTTCGGATTTTTCTGAAACGCGGGTCTGTTTTGAGTCTCGCAAAACGAGGATCTGACATGTCGATGATATATGTCTATTGTACACCTGGGACCGGGAGAGGGAAAACGGGTAAGAAATTCGGCATAGCCACCATGTCATTGCACATGGCTTGCAAGACCCTCGCATGCGGACTCCATTCATACCGTAAGTACTGACCGTTGTTCGAGGATTATTATCAACAACTCGGACACAGATATGCACGTCGGCATATAAAGACTGGGATCAGCGTTCATCACGCGCTCCATTGAACAACGAGGACCGAGTTGGTCTATGTAAGTCGGACGGATCGCGCCCTAATAGCAGTCTCCACGCATCGCGGACTCTCAGGGTGCTTCATCTGCCGTGGTTGCTCCAGATCCGCCATCAAACCGGTAGACATGGGACGAAGGCCGTCCGAGCGAGTGGCACGGTGATGAAGACCTGAGTTTGCGCGCGCCCGTTTTGTCTGCGGCGAGCTGTGTGTGTGGGATACAAATTGCGATGCTCCAATGATAGCATGGCCGACGACCCCAGAATTCCATGGCTGATCGAAGGTGCCACATGCAACGCATAGGGCGGACAAATGCAAGCAAAGCGTGCTCGAGGAGAGAAGGAGTCTCGCAGGTGAATGATACGTTACGCTGGGCTGTTCGCCCCGGGTGGACGCTACGTAGACTGCAATATGAACTGGTGCGGCGAGAGATGATGCCAGGAATAGACACAGCCATCGAAGGAGCGAAATCACCGAGTTGCCTGACGACGACCAATCAAGTTCTCTGCCACGCGGGCCCTTATATACCCTCCTCCCTCTCTCTCTGTCGCCCATCCCCTCCCCAGTGAGTGCCGTCCTTATGCTCCGCCGCCGTCCATATTGACCGTTTCTCCAGATCGTTCTCCGTTCTTCAAACGCTAGGCCGCCGGACGACCTTTTCATCGCATCCTTTCCGCCCAGCGCACCCCACATCAAGTCGACCTTGAAACCACATTCTTTTTCGCCTTAACGTCGCCATGTTCGCTCGAAGCGCCGCCGTTCTCGTCACGCTTGCCGTGATCCTCGTCAGCCAGGTTGCGGCAGTGCCTGCGGTCGAGGCAGTGAGTGAACTATCGATTCGCAGCTTAGCAGCGTTGATCTGAGACGATCCTTCCTTCAGCGCGCAGTTGCGGGCCGCGACCCTGTTGCGTTCGCTCCCATCCCTGCGTACGTCAAGCGCGCCAATGTCAACACCATACCCGCCGAGAAGGCGACCAAGGCACCCAACGGTGTAATCGAGGAGTACGAGAAGCGCGCCGTCAACACCATGCCGGAGGAGAAGCCCACGAAGGCCCCCAACGGTGCGATCGAAGCGTACGGCAAGCGCGCCAACGTGAACACAATCCCCGCCGAGAAGGCGACCAAAGCCCCCAACGGCGTTATCGAGGCGTACGAGAAGCGCGCAAACGTGAACACCATCCCCGCCGAGAAGGCAACCAAGGCGCCCAACGGCGTCATCGAGGCGTACGGCAAACGTGCAAACGTTAACACCATCCCTGCCGAGAAGGCGACCAAGGCACCCAACGGCGTCATCGAGGCTTACGAGAAGCGCGCGAACGTGAACACCATTCCGGCTGAGAAAGCCACCAAGGCGCCTAACGGTGTGATCGAGGAGTACGAGAAGCGCGCCGTCAACACCATGCCGGAGGAGAAGCCCACGAAGGCCCCCAACGGTGCGATCGAGGCGTACGGCAAGCGCGCCAACGTGAACACCATCCCTGCCGAGAAAGCGACCAAGGCGCCTAACGGTGTCATCGAGGCGTATGGCAAGCGTGCAAACGTCAACACCATCCCGGCGGAGAAGGCGACTAAGGCACCGAACGGTGTTATCGAAGCCTACGGGAAACGTGCCAACGTCAACACTATACCCGCAGAGAAGGCGACCAAGGCTCCCAACGGCGTGATTGAGGAGTACAACTAAATCGTGAGTTTATCTCACGTTCATTCGGGAACTACGGGTTGACGACTGCATGGCATAGGGTCATGGCTTGCTCAAGGCATGGTTGGTGGACGGATCCGGCGACGCGGGATCCTCAACGCGGCCGGCGAGATGTGATGCGCGAAGGGACACGATGACTGTACACTTTATGGATGCGATCGTGCTAGCCACGATCTGGTATCTTTTTGTCGTTCTATGCGCAACGGAGAATCGATTTGCATGGGTTTTGGGTCAGCTGCACGCTTGTGAATTCAGATACGGGGTTCGAACGACGTCCTACTGCGTGCGCTGAAATTTGGATTCATTCCAGAAGAGCGCACGATAGGTACGCAGCAGAAGCAGATAGATGTATGCTTGGGCGGCCATTGAAACGTTACCTCCGCATAGGTGATATCAAATTCATCCTGTATTCAGCCGTTCGCATCATGATCGACATCCACTTAGAGCAGGTTGGAATCTTATCGATACAGGTGCAGTATTAATATTCCTTGCTTATCGCGCTCACCTTCCTCTCCGTCTGACACGGCCCACTTGGCCCACTTGGCCCACTTGGTTGATTTGATCAGCGTCAGCCCGCTCTCCATATAAACAGACCGCATCCGTTCCCCTGTTTCACTCGCACACACCAATGTCCTCCCATCCTCAGACTTACAAGGCCGCGCAGATCAAGGAGAAGGAGGGCCCCTTCGAGCTCGTCGATGTCCAGTGGAAGGATCCCAAGGATGGCGAGATCGTCGTCAAGGTCCTCGCTTGCGGGGTCTGCCACAGGTAATCCTCTTTGTGCCGTCACCGTCCTAGGCTTGCTTCAACGGTACTGCAGCGACGGCATAGTCAAGCACCAGATCTACCCTACCGGCTTCCCGCGCATCCCAGGTGGGTTACTATTTACATCTGCGAGATAAGATAGCTTCAACCCATATGCCGTCACAGGACATGAGATTGTGGGCGACGTTGTCGCAGTGCCTCCCACCGAAAAGCTCTGGAAGGTAGGCGACCGCGTGGGCGGTGGCTGGCACGGTGAGATCCCGGTACATATATCCGCATTCGGGACAGACAGTTCTGAGACGATCGAATAGGTGGTCATTGCAGCATCTGCAAACGCTGTCGTGCTGGAGACTACGTGACTTGCGAGAACGAGGCCATCAACGGTTCGCTCGTTCGTTGTGGTGCAAACTACAGTGTCCTGACAGTCAATGTCCAGGCATTTTCTCTGATGGCGGCTACGCTGAGTATGTCACTCTCCGCACCGAGGCTGTCGCTTCCATTCCAAGGGAGTTGGACCCTGCAGAAGCAGCGCCGCTCATGTGCGCCGGAATCACGACCTTCAGTGAGTATAAGAGCGCGTTCAAGATTACGTTTGACGGCCAACAATATCTCGTCAGACTCTATCAGGAACATGGGCGCGAAGCCCGGCGACGTCGTCGCCGTCCAAGGCATCGGCGTAAGTATGCAGGCTCGTTCCCCCGACCATATCTATAACAGAGCTTGTTTCCATGTAGGGACTGGGACATCTTGCGCTCCAGTATTGTCGCGCCATGGGATTTTACACGGTTGCGTTATCATCCTCGGAATCCAAGAAGCAACTTGCACAATCCCTGGGAGCTCACGAATATGTCTTCGGCGAGAACCAGGTCGAGGCATTGCAGAAGCTTGGGGGTGCAAAGGTCACCCCGACATCCGCTCTGCCATCACGCTTGCTTACGCCTGCTACCGCAGGTCATAGTGTGTACTGCTCCCAACTCGAAGGTCATCCAGACGCTGGTCAACAGCCTCTCGGTTGACGGCGAATTACTCATCCTCGCGCTGGCGGATGAGCTCAGCATTCCCGTTGGTGAGTACAGGTCGAGTGCCTTCGAAAATATCATGTCTGACGTGCTCTGCCAGGGCCCCTCATCTCCAAGCGACTCTCCTTGAAAGGCTGGCCCTCGGGCACAGCTAAGGACTCTGAAGAAGCGGTCGCCTTTGCGAAAGCAGCCGGCGTCAGATGTCATGTCGAAAGGTTCCCGCTCGACAAGGTCAACGAGGCATACGAAAGCATGGCCTCAGGCAAGGCCCGATTCCGCGCCGTGTTGGTGCCAGCATAAGCATCTGCTTGTCAACTTTCGATGTCTCAGTACTCGTATGTTAACTCGTCAAATTGTAAAGTTGCCTGGACAAATATCGCCGTCATCGGGTGCCACTGCCGGCGTAATATGCGTAGATCCATATGCTGCCGAGAGAGCCCAAAACGACGATCAGATTCCCATCGCGGCCCATTGCGCAAGCCACGGCTTGCTCGGTAGCGGGGGCAGGCGCCAGCAGAACCCAACCGCTACCTTCCAATAGCGAGGGTGGTGGCATCGGGCTTGCGCTCGGGTCTCCCAGATCCGTGTAATGACTCAGAGAGGTCAGACGTGGACCCGACGCTCGTTCCGGCTCCTCCATCAATTCCTGGGCCACAGAGAACGGCACGCTCTCCGTTGGACTGAGGCGGGAAATGTTGATTATCCGCACCCCAACTCCCGCGTGTGGAACGAGCAGAACAGGATGACCTACGGGCCTGTTCATGTGGTGTACGTGCATGTGAGGCGAATGTTGCGGAAGGGAGGTCCGAGACAAAAATTCAAAGCAAGCTAGAACGCATGTTAATCGAGACATAGGGTTGACTTTTGGTAGACGTACTGCTCTCTTGATAATCCTATGCGGTCCTCAGCGACAGGCGGTGAACAGCTGAAGTTCCTTCACTTACGGATGCACATGGCCTCGCCGCGTTCGGCCAAGCTGCCGCTCCCTTGTCTGGCGGGAAAAAGCGATGCAACCCGATCCATTGCCAAACGATAGCCTGGCCATCCTGTGTGTACAGGCTCTGCACGTCGTCGGGATCTCGGCGGAGTGAAGCGGGTGCACTATGCGTCAACAACACATCGTCGCTCAACCTGGATGTCACCTCAGAGAAAGAATTCGACCGACAGGGTTGGACTCACCACGATACGGAGAGCACGCGGGCATCGTGAATCCTGCTGCTGCTGAAGATGGGCTTATCCTCTCGAGAGAAGACGTCCGGATTAGAAAGTAAAGGCAAGCGCCATATCTTGACTGCACGGTCCATGCCGCAAGTTGCTATGAGTGGAAACGTGTGGTGAAACGCCTAGCGACTGATCAGTATGATAGTAGCGTACGTTACCCTAGTTGAATTCTTACTGCACCCATGACGGCGGCTTGATGACCACCCGCACGTCCGCCGGCCAAAACTGCCAGACACCGTCCAAAACCATTACCCTCACGGCCCGTCATCTGTAGCCCAACAGGCGCGCCAGCAAGGTTCGGCACCTTGGAAGGAGGCATTGGTGGGTTGTTTGGCTCCTGCCTGGGCTCCATGTCCAAGTCAATGATACGGGCGCTGAAGTCACGCGACGTCGTGCAAACAATCGACGGATGAGTTGCCTCCACTGCGATGGAGGTGATGGACTGGGTATGATTTAGTCAGTATCGAGAGTGATAAGTGGAGAGTATCGCTACGCACGTTTCCGTGCCCTCGTATCTCAGCTACGAATTGGCGGCTCTTGACATTGAAAGCATACAGCATCCGATCGTGTGCGCATAAGACGAGGGGATCCAATGGCGGCTTGGATCTCAAAGCCCACGCTACGGGATAGAGACTTTCATGGCCTCTCTCTTTCTGCATGCTCTGTATGTTCTACCGTTAACAAACACAAAAAAGAGTTTGAGGTCGATAACGTGCCTTGAGTGGTAATATATAGGGTCGTTGGGTGGAACCACGACGGACGTCCTGTATGCGCACGAACGAACGCCCACCGAATACGACGGTGTGCTCAAACGTGGTTACGGTCTGTATCCACTCGCTCTCCAGACTTGGGTAGTTCTCTGCCAGGTAACCCTCAAACAAGGTATGGAACGACGCAGCACTCCACGGGAACGTTGCAGCAGACCGTAGGTCATTGTATGGCGGCGTAGCTGGCTAGCTAAGTCGGTCTAGATATCGTACGTTCAGACCGATTCAATGATGACTGACTGGGACTGCGTGGACTAAAGAGAAGGGGGGCGGATGTGGAGGACCAGTGTACCAGAACCTTTCGTTCCCGGGATATCCTCTACGTTCCATCCAGCAGGAATCCAGAAAACTAAGACTCGCAGGGAAAGAGAGCAAACGCAGATTTCACACAGCTAGTAAGCAGGTAAACAGCTAACCAACTTTGAGCTCCTCTGCTAACACGTGCACAGTCGAACCAGTTTACTCGGGGACGAACATCGGCACATAGAGCAGCGCACTTAGTTCAGAAATCCGAATTGCGCAGGAGCAAGGACCACACGATCCTCAGCAGATGTTGCGTATGCATACAGCCATGACATAAAAAACGCGTGTACAGCATGATGGGATACAGAACAGAATATCCTTTACCGATAACTGATAGCAGGTTAGTTTCCAGTCGCGTGCGCAAGGACAGTGGAACTTACGATTTCTGCCTGCGAGCGCGCGCTCCCCGACCGCCGAACTTCTTCGGCTCCGCCCGCCTCGGGTCTGCTATCAAGAGCGTACGGTCGTACGTGACGAGCTTCTTCTTCAGCTCGATCGCGCTGTATGCGTCGATATACTTGGCGTAGTAGGCAACAACGGCCTTGGCAATAGCCTGGCGGATGGCGTAGATTTGCGAGGTGTGTCCACCGCCTTTCACGCGCACACGGATGTCGAGGACACCGAACGCATCCTCACCGGCGACGAGCACGGGTTCGTAAACCTTCAGACGGAGGATTTCAGGGCGAACGAGGTCGATGGGTGAGCCATTGATGCGAATGAGTCCCCGACCCTCCTTGGCGTGCGCAACAGCAGTCGCAGTCTATACGAGCTAAAGGGTAAGGCTAGCCTATGCCGACGAAATACTACTACTCGCCTTCTTTTTGCCGAAGGTTTGAACGGCCTTCGTTGTTGAGGCCATTTTGAAGGATTGAGGGTGCCGAGCTTCTGAACGGCAAGTGAATCCTAAGAGCAAGAGCCATTTTCAGCGATGAGTTGTAGCCAGGCAGCCGAGTAGCAACAAGAGAGTAGGCGTAGTCGGCTAGAGTCATCCAGAACTGAAGTGTTGCATCCAACCCATGAATCCGGAAATCTCAATCACGAACGACCCAAAGATTCGAAACTGTGTCCCTCGTTCCGTTCGGAGCTGTAGAAAGCGTAACTCACGTCCTCTACCGTAGCTGGTCTTGAGGGAGGAGGTAACGGGTTGCCCTTCGATGTTGCGGAAGTGTCCGAGTCAGGGGTCGCGTGGCGAGGCGCGTCCTCGGGGGGTCCCCGTTTAGTTGCTCCTCTCCGTCACCGAGACTCGAGACTACGGTCGAAATGCTGGCGGCATCCTGGGCCTCAATCAACCAAGTTCGTGGACCGATGCCGAGCAGAAGTAGCGACAACTTAATCTGTTAATAGCTGCCCAGAATACCTTGTAGGGCATATGCGATTGCAACTTCCCTGTCCCGTGCGGGACCATCCCGAATGAGCAAGGCTAAGCGTATGTTTCCGTGCTCCTACTCAAGGCGTGTACCTAACACCACCTCAGCTTTGTTCAGGGAGGCCCCTGCGTACATATCTCTTTCCCAGCTTGTTCCTCCGGAAATAATGTCGCTAGCGCGAATCGATACCGATATACCGCCACCCAGCCACGAACGTACCAGCTCGCTATTCGAGTCTGAATCGGCCGCAGAAGAGCCGAGCGCGTCGGCGGAGGAATCCATAGCTGGCGCTACAGAGGCGTTGGATAAAGTCGTGGCACTTGACCCGACGGTTTTCCTGCATCCCATCCGCAAAGACATCCTTCATCTTTGTGTCGTCCACCACCTTGATGGCCTTCGTCAAGGCTCGGCCAACACGAAGACAAGGTCAGAGGTTGCCGGCTCCGGCCGGAAGCTTCGACCACAGAAGGGAACTGGCCGTGCTCGACTCGGTGACAACGGAAGCCCCATGCTGAAGGGCGGAGGTGTTGCATTTGGACCCAAGCCGCGGGATTTCTCGACGAAGCTCCCTCGCAAGGTGATACAAATGGGAATGCGCATCGCTTTGAGCGCCAAGGTGCACGAAAAGGCTCTGGGAGTGGTGGACACTCTGGACTGGCCATTGGAGGTTGCGAAGACCAAGGCAATGGCAAGGCGTATTGATGAACTGGGTTGGAGGAGGACATTGTTCGTGTCGGGTGGACCTACTCTACCAGAAGGCTTGCGCCGCTGTACCAGCAACTTGGAGAACGTCGATGCAGTTACTGCAGAGGAACTGACCGTCTACGACGCGACACGGTGGCCTCGGTTGGTCCTCGACATCGACGCAGTGGCATACTTTGAGCAGACGCTCTCAAGGGCAGATGTTGCGGGGGGTTGAAACGCGGACGTGGCAGATGCCGGAAATGATGTGACATCTTTGTAGCATATTAAGCCACGCAGCGTCGTGCTAATACAGCACCATCCTGATTTCGAGCTTGGACGGACGCTCTGCTTACACAGCCACTACCGGTTATGTTCCTGCGTAATGTCAGGTTGAGTACAACGCTCTAAGCCTGAGGGAGCTGCCCCTAGCTTGAAATGTTCTCCCAGTTCAGACAAGCTGTAGAAAACCTTGCCACGCAGCCGCCCCGACGCTCTACATCTGTTGACGAACACGGAAGCCCCCTAGAAGAGCGGTCGCGCACGCCAGAAGCGCAACACAAACCGTCCACGTCGTTAGGCTCCGCACACCTAGCAGATGCTGCATTGTCGAACCTCAGAAAGACTCTGGGATCCCAGCGTACATCAAGTCCTATTCGGACGGCGAGCCCGGGACCCGCAAGTGGCCCTGATACGGGGCGCCGGCCGAATCTGGAGGAAAGGTTACGTGCCAAGTTCACTATTGGGGAGGCATCTCCGACACCTGTTGGAACTCCGGATCCTTCAGGCAGGTCATCTCCCGCCCTACAGCCTGAACATGCAGACATTGAGGCTGCAAACGCACTGAAGAAGAAGGCCTCCCCCGCTCTTGAAGCTGATGCCGGACATCCGCTGTCACCCACATCTACCCCATTGCCCGACTCGCCTGCCCTCTCTCCTACAGAAGAGACTTCGCTTTCCCTAGACTCCGCAATTGCCTCTCTTGACTCTCTACCAAGACCGAACGCGGAGTCTCCATATAACGCAAGAACGACACCCTCTCCATCTCCCTCTCCAGCGTCTCGTGAGCCATTGGAATCTGGATTTTTGCCTGAGGTCAAGACAGACGAAGTGTCGCTCTCAGTTCAAACTAGGCAGCAACATGAACATGAGCACATCGACGCGGACATCCCTTCTTGCGCGCTTGCGGAATCCGCCTCTCTCGATGTTTCTTCCCCGGCTCTGGCCTCCGTTGGTGAAGTTGCTCTTTCGGGCGATGAAATGACCTCGGAACACCAGCCACGACAGGAGTCTGTTTCCCCGAAATCGCAACTACGAGATCTAGCCGACCTCTCCACTACAACGGCTGATGATTCCTTCACTGCGGAAGCGGATGGTTCGTCTATAGGTGATCACGAAGTTACGAAGAACCAGGAAACCAGCATTTCCGAAACAGCACCCTCGGAAAATCCATCGATTGCCATTCAGACCCCGCTTCCCCGGAGTCCGATCAGTCCACATTTGACGTCCGAGGCGAGGATTGCGGCGCTTGTGTCTCCAGTTGTGGGGGGCGAAATGGATCAGGTGTCCCGACCGTCTTCACGATCGCCCGCATCAGCGGACGTAGAAGCTCTGCAACAGCGACTCAAACTGGTCGAGCAACGTTTCGCAGGCAAGTCGACAGGTATACTCTACACCTTCTCAGTTGTTGATCGCTCGTCTTTGCTTTCCACCAGATGTATCAACCTCGTTCAAGCGTTTACAGGCTGAGAAAAGGGCTGTGGACGGCATACTCCGCGAATTGACGCCCATCGAAGGGATGCAAGATCAGGTGGCCCTTCGAGATTACCTTCAGAATATGAATCAGAAACTCGAGGTACGTTTTATCATCTCTTTGCGCGCCTCGTTTCAAGCTCTCGTAGATATCACAGGACGAAATCATGAGATTGAATGGAAAGCTCACACGTAAGCCCCACATATCCTCGCAAGTTGCATCGCTACACCTATAAGCGCAGGGCAGGAAGAGCGTTTGGAAGAACTGAGAGATACCCATCGACTCGAATCCGCTTCCTTCACAGAGGAGGCTGACAACCTTCGTCAGCAACTCGAGGCCGCCAAGAACGCGCTACAAGCAGCGGAATCTGTGAAGGCTAAGTCGGACGAAGAAGCAGCAAAGCATAGAGCAGAAATTGAACGATTGAAGAATGAGAACGAGAAGGCGTCTACCATGGCCAAGGACGAGGAAGAGAAACGCGTTAAGGCCATTGCGCTCCTCAAGACCGTTCGTCAGAAGCTCGTTAAAACGGAGAAGGACAGGGATGACGCAATAAAGGATGCTAACGCAACGAAGGGAAAGGATAAGGAAGAGCTCGCAAGGCTTCATCATGAAATTGAGAAGGTCAACGCAGAAAGGGAGCAAGCGATTACCGGAATGCGTGCGCATTTTGATCGTGAACTTGCGGGTCTCAAAGAGCGCCAGGCGAAAGATATCGCTGCTCTGCGCGGTCAGTTCGAACTGGAGGCAATCAGCACCAAGGTGAGGCTGGAGATCGTTGGTCGCCGGTTGGCGTGCTCAAAGTTTGTCAGGCTGCGCATGCCAAGGAGCTTGCCGCTCGTGACTCCAAGATTGCCGTTTTGGAAAATTCTGTTCGCAATCTCACGAACGAGAAGAACAAATATTTCGACCTCTTGCAAGTGCGACAGGGCGAATATGAATCAGCAGAATCGCATTCGCAGTCCCTGGAGGCGCAAACTACCGAGTTGCAATATCAGTTGCGCGAAGCGAACGAGCGTATTTGCTTGCTCACGGAAGAGTTATTAGAAGCCAGACGCGAACAGGATCATGGCCGACGCAAACCGTCAGTTTCCGCGGAGGAAGTTACGTTAAACCTGCAAGCGACCGAAGCACGATATGAGAATATGTTGAGGGAAGTCAGGAAGCAGATTGAGGCGTTGGAGGCTGAGCGCGCTGATGCCGAGGCAATGTGGGCTAGAAGGTTGGAAGAGAAAGCCAAGGAGGTGGAGAACTTAAGGGAACTGGTGGATACGAACCGGGAGTCAAGCGGGATAAAGGAGCAATCGATGAAGGAGTCTCAGCAACAAGTAGACCGTCTGAAAGAAGAGCTGCGGTTGGTTAGGTTAGATGTGCAGAAAATGCAGCGAGAGGTCGACGCCGCAAGGGAAGCCCAGGTGAGGCCAGCGCAGCAGAGATCGCAACGTGCCGCTTATCTCAGACTGTAGACCGGCGCTCAAGAAGAATCGAAAGAGCTCGGTAGCAAGCTCGCCGCTCTCGAGAAACTGATCGAGGAGGTGAAGCTGCGAGAGACACAACTTAAGGCCGCCAACAAGGTATCAGAATGTATAGCATTACGTTCCGATCGTGAACTGATTCGTTGGTCAGGCTCTCCGAGGAGAACTGCACAAAGTACAGACTTCCGCGGCACTGCTCGAGCGTCAACGAAACCCTGGTGTCGGCTATTGGAGCGCCTCGAGACAAGATTTGCCTGACAATGTTGAGATGGATTCACGGATCTCGGTCTCGTCTACCTCGGATGTGAGCAGAAACAGCACGCCTCGTATAGGATCACCCACTCCAACTTCCGGGTCTGAAGAGGAAATCAATCTCGAGTACCTACGCAATGTGATTCTGCAATTTTTAGAGCACAAGGAGATGAGGGTGAGCGTATATCCGTCGCGTGTACCTGGCTGTACTTATGGACATGGACAACTGCAGCCCAACCTCGTACGTGTGCTTGCTGCGATCTTGAGATTCACACCACAAGAAACACGTAGGCTAGTTGCAAAGGTCTAAGAGCCGTCGTTTGTACCCCAGGACAAACAGCTGTGAATAGTACCTTACAGACCCTACAATAATGTACACATGGGCGACGGTCCATGGCCGGATTGTGGACGCCGGAAACGGAATGTACATATTACACTGCAGCGTCGGCTTTCGTCCCATACATCTTGACCAGTCCGGCACTCGCGCCACCTTCCAAGGTCTTCGCGTATGCATCCACCTGGCCGATGAGCAGCATACTTTCCAGCCGGCTTGGCTCAGGCGGGACTTTGACGAGCCGTTGCACGTCAGCCTCTGGGAGGGGCTGGAGACCTTGGGCCTGGCGCACGGCGTTTTCGTCTCTCCGTTTTTGCAGAAGGCCTTCCGCCTTCGCCTTTTCCCTGGCAATCTGGCGGGAGAGGTATGCGAGGTTATTCTCTTCGGTTTTGTAGGCATCGAGCGCATCGATCAATCTCGAAAGCGGTTGCCTGATCGTCGTCGAATCAAGAGACAAGACTTGATAGGATGATGGTACGGCTGCTGGCTCCAGGTTGGCTACTGGACCGGTCGACGATGTTGACGTGGGCTGAGATAGACGCGAAATGAACGAGGATAGGAGAGCATTGGTACGGATCTTCAGTGGTATCTCTTGCAAGATGGAAGAGAAAGTGAGGCGGTGGTTCGCGAGGCTGGTGATGCAGTATTAGACGCAGATAACCAGATATGGAAGAATGTCACGTCACATACCTCGCTGAGCTGAAGTTCTTACGCTTGTGTGCGTCTATGAAAGCTTTGCTCAGTTTGAAGGCCTTGAAGGATGCGTTCCCTTTGGTGCTTTGCGTAATATCTACAAATGATGAATATAGCGGGTGCATCACTGCGCAGGGTATCATGAACGCACCATGAACGATTACCACACCTCCATGGCGAAGTTTCTCCTGATAGATGGCTTGTGTCTCCATCAAAGTCTGGGTATAGAAAGCACCCATCGTGGTAGCCTGGTAAAAACCAACTACGCTATCATCCGCTTGCACTTCCTTAAGTGACCTCAGCATAGATCCCTGGTAGCGCGCTGCAGGCTTATGTGAGACGACGACTTCTGCTCTGACATATCTCATGACGGACCAATCGCCTTAGAAGACTTGTCATCTTCCTCTGAGGACGTATGCTGCGTGGGCAAAGGAAAGGAGTTGGAAACTTCTAAAACGCCGTCCAGATCGAGGCCAAGCAAGAGTCCCGTAGCGGATCTTGCCTCACTCGCGTGCTTGATGATTTTCGAAACCACCTATGCGAACGTGTATCAAGTAATGTTCAGACCCTCTTCCGCTTGTTACTCAAGCAAACAACATACTAAGCCATCCAGTTGCGCATAGCTGATGGGTATCTCAGCCTCAGGATCAACGGCCTTCGACATTGAAGCAGGGATTTGTTCGAGAACGGGGGCAGCTGGGGCGGGCGCTTGGGGCGCAGCGGGCAGTGACGCCGCTACAGCTGCTGCCATAGATGTGGCCATGATAGATTAGTGCGGACGTTGCGAAAGTTGCGAGACAGCAAGATGGCAAGAGACTACAGTAGCATCTCTCGCACTCTCGTCGAAAATCTAACCCTAACCCTGAAATCACTAGGTTGGCATGCCGCACATTCCTCCGTCCGTGCACGTGAGTAAGTGGCGCCAAGCGCCGCATTCCGCCTCCCCTTGCAGTTTGCTCGAGTAACTCGAAATCAGTGTGCATACAATACAGGTGTGGTACGATAATTGCAAGGACACAGCAGGAAGCCATGACATATACATGGGCACTCACGAATTGACCATCTCTGACCGTGGGATGATCCGTCTGAACACAAGTTACTTGCCACGGTCGATAGAGGGTTTACATCTGCGGACATATCGGCCGTTGCCATGGTTTATCTTATCTTATCAAACAAGCGCTCAAATTTCCGTCCAGACACGGAAAGTGTCATTACGCAGAGAAAGCAAAGCGCAGTAGACACTACGATTATGTAAATGATACCGATAAGGCTGAAACAGACTTCGGCGGCTTGGCCAACTGATACATCACACGTACAGAGCGATACCAGTACATCATGTAAGCGTTCTCACACCTACAGTGTCACGCTGCTGCGTCCCATCTAAAACTAGCGCTCGTCCGTCCGATATTCGCGGATTATCACACTTTATCACGCTTTTGTAACGTTTTGGCTGGGGTCACATTTCTGTCACTGTGACGAGGCCCATGCGCAAAAACCAACTCCCTCCTTTGGGGGAGTCGGAATTCGCTCTACAGTGTGACAACAAATTGGGACGCATGGTAATGAGGTACATCTGAGATTTGTGAATACTCATGAACGACAGCATGCTCCATCCAAGTCGACCTTTTCCTTTTTACGACCTTCATGCCAACATCTCCGCAGCCCGGCTAAGTTGTAACAATCATGCAGTAAGTTACCACGGTCTTTGTCTATGGGAACACACGTACGTGAATATATCCCAAACAGCAGTTTGGTTCCGGTAGAAGGCGAATCCTACCTATATCCTTCAGAAATGTCTATTATGATGACAATAAGCAACTGCAGGAATACAAGCAGTCGTTTGTATCAAGCGTACCATCGTTTGGAGAAGCCTCATGAAGCAAGAGATGTCAAAATGAGTCTAAATGGAATACTGCTGAAAGCACGCACTCCATCCAATATGGCATCTGCATATTTGATGATCCGATTACCCTTACTCTCAGTCAACCCAAGCTCGCCCCATTGCCATGGCATGATGCTACAATGTTTCGTTGAGTAAACGGCACATGTCCCATTCAGTTGTTAATCATACCCTGCATGCTGGGTATCGAGCACTCACTGGACCCAGATAGGATATATGGACGACTTGTTCGAGAGACCCGTCATGCCGAACTCTTCGATGACTAAGGGCTTGTTCACCCTTCTCGTAGCTACAGGTACCCATGAGCCAAGCAGAAGCGTCACATTTGATAAGGGATAAGGAACTCGCCGTTAATGTGGGCATCAATCCAGAATAAACCCCAATCTTGCATGGAGAAATTTGATCCTGGAAAGTCCTGGGATAAACGTGAGCACCCGTTCTACTACAGGCACACTCATCAAACAATATGCAACGAAATGTACCAGGTTGCCATACCAGGTTTGCAGATACATGTGCTAGAGCTTCTCGGTAAGCGCCATTGACGCACACTGGCGAAAAGGAGCAACCCACGTATACGCCAAAGTCTATGTTGTGGAGCATGATGTCGGCATCGAAGTCTTCTCCAGGTTGACCGTCGAAGTTGAAGTCTTCGACGAGTTGACCATTGACCCAGCTTGAGGGTGACTCGTGACCGGAGAATGGCATGTAGCAGAAGACATGCTCACTATTTCACAGGGTTCTTCCAGTTGAAATGACCCTCTCCACCTATCAGCATTGAGAGTATATCACAATTCCTTAGCGTAACTTCGTTAACTTCACTATGATCATGCTCTCACCTGTGGTTACCATGTGATGCGGGTCAAGGCTCTTCACAAAGGCGGCTTGGTTTTTATACCAGGTATGCAATGTCCCAGAGCCGGGTATGCATGCGGTGTCCCGCACCCTTTTTGCAAAAGGTGCAGAAACATGTTGTTGCGCACGTGCCTGACTTCAGCTTTGGAATTTCCCACGAGACAAGACATGCGTGAGAGCTGCGCTGAGGGAAGCGCAAAGTCAGAAAAATTATTTGTTCAACCTGCACCACCATGTTTGGATATCTCATCGCAGCTGCTCGCCACGTCGTCAACACTCTTTACCCTGCCTATGTGCAGGAAGATGAGAATCACGTCCCTCACTCCCTGCCACTCGCCATCGAGTACACACGCGAGACCGTGACCACTGTCCAGGTTCGCGGTAGCGAACACGTTGAATACACTATGCGTCAATTCGAGCCGCCTGCCTATGATGGCCACATCTTCGACACCGATTCCCTTCGCATCCCTCCAAACGAGGAGACCTGTCTGTTTTGGATGACAGAACATCCGCTTCCGCACGCACACTTCAAGCTTGGGGACATCTTTCAGTTACAGCTATACGATGGGCCCAACCAGATCACAGCAGACGTGCATTTCCAGCGAGCCATCTACAACAATGTCGACGATGTGATTGTCATCCTTGCTACTCTAGCTCCTCCCGCTTCACTCCGCCGAGGTCACACCAAGCTTTTCCGATACTTCGCCTACGAGCACTACGCCATGCTCTCTATGGTTCTCAAGAGTGAAGGTCTCCCACTTGCCGAAGATCCATGGCATTATATTCCCATTTTCGTACCTGCCAACCACCTTGGACGTACACATCATGACTTGCGTACGAGCACCCACCCCATCGGTCACGTCCGTCTCTACGCTGCAAATGGCATTAAGCAGAGCATGCGTCGCTTCACACTTCCTTACGACGATATCCGCGGACACTTACCCCGACCCTTTCCGGTCACAGGACTGCTTCAGTACTCGACAATGTACGAATCTGGATCTG